ATATAGATACTGTATTATATTATCAAGCCTTACTTTTTTTTACTCTTTCCGCCCTGTGGGCACTAAGAGGGCCTCTTTTTGCAAGCCCATTATGAGTTCGGCCAGGCCCACAATGGGGCTGCCGGGTGGTGAGGAACGGGACTGGTTGAACGGTCTATCCTCCTCTTTCTTCTTCTTTGGCTCATGTTGGGGGTTCGGTTGATCTTACTATTTTTTCTTTGATCAAATCCGACAAATCCGAACGGACCACCCCCGAAAAATTTCTGGGGATTTTTCGACCCGTTCGGATTCGAACCCAGGTCCCCCAGAGCGGTAGGCTACCACCTTGGCCGCTCGCACATGTGTCGCGTTGCCATATCTCACTAATCCAATCCTCTTTGCCCGTGGCATTCAGAGGATCTTTTAATTAACTATTATCATTTTGAATTCTCTTTTCTCAATACTGAGATTCGGGAAATTAATGTCGTTAGTTTAAAAAACCTGCAAAGAGTTGCTTAACTTTCCCCACATTTAAAACTGCGTGTTTGACGCCATCTATTTAATATTTAATTTAAAAACCTTTTTTTGTTTAGATTTACCCTAGGTATCCAAGATGGCGGCTCTTCCGGTAACCTCGACGGCATGCGCGTTTAGAAATGAAATGTAGATGGCGCTTATCATACTGACGGTTTCATATGCAAATTTTCTTCAAAAATTTCCACTTGGAAAATATGAGGAATTATGCAAATTTTGAGTTCGGTAGACGGACGGTGCATGTCGTTATCTTTTCGTATGGCGTTCATGGTTTTTTTTTAAAGTTTCTACAATTTTCTGTTTTTTTTATTTTAATTTAACGAGTAGAAACTTTGGCCAATTGTTTTTACTGTTTATATGTCGGTTAACACTTGCCTTTTCCAATGCATTCTACGCCGTTTTAGTTTTCCACTAACATGTAAGTGACGTTCGACTGTTCGTGCACCCGAAGGTTAGTGATTCATCCTTTACTGTTCAAAACCTAGGTGATGTTATATTTGTATGCCGAGGCCGCGCGGCTGAAGCAGCGACGACGAGGTTGGCGAGCACCTCAGGTGCCGCCCACCGAGGAGACGCTGAGGCTGCAGTCAGTTCCGCATAGGTTTAAACTTGCACTCCAGGCAAATACTGTTCGAACCACTGATGTCTCCAATCTCGTAATTCACTACGTCCAGTTATCTATGGTTTTCAGGTAGTATGGTGACTTTATTATTTTTCGTCTCCGGTCCAAAAGTAGGAAATGAAGCCAAAAGCACGGGAAAAAGTGAGTAGCAAATTTACGTTTTAAAAATGTTTTAGTTTAAAAAAAAGTTTAAATATAGGCGCGTTTTGGTTATTGTCGACCGCCGCCATCTTGGATACCTAGGGTAAATTTAACCGGCTTATTTGACTGAAATTCGGGGATGGTCCGTCCCGGATATGTCGAGACCCGTCCCCCAACTCCCGGTCGTTCCTATTGTAGACGTAACCGAATCCACGATGGACACGGCAAAGGGCACTCTTAGTGAACAGGGTGCATAAAGATAGAAAAGTTTGGCATCTGCTTAAACTGGATAGAAACTCTGGGCCGACGAAGTTTAGCATAAAGACAATTGGTTACGTCACAATAAAATGTAGTTAGATTGTGTCTTAGAAGAGGGAAAACGTGAGTAGCGTTCAGAAAGACAGACAATCCACGAGTCTAAAATAAAATTTTTAACGAATTGATATTTACAGTATTCGAGTTCGTAGGATTCTTTTGGAAATCGTATGAAACGTTTCGTCTGCATAATTTAACTATACGCAAACAAAACCAATTTCCGGCGTTTGATTTTGCAAAGGGATCAATTTATATCGATTCATTTTTTCGTACATTGTTTCTTCCGAAAATTTCACCGATAGATGGCGACGTTCCTCTATTGCCAAATTATCGCGATGGTTAATTAACTTTCTAGCCAAAGCGTTTAATTTCAAATTCGGAATCGGACCGGAAACATATCCTTCGCTCCATACCGCGGAGGAATTGACCAATAATAGCAAAGAAACTATTACGCGGGATTATTAGAATTAGATTTTTTTTATTATTGCAAAATTCTAATTTAATATTAATAAACACTGCGGTCCGCGAATCGCTGCCAAAATTTTCACGAAAGGAAACACAATAGGTTAATTTGAAAAAATTTAGTAAAGTGATAATTAAAGATACGTCGTATCGCTGCAGTATAAACCATAGAGTAAATACAGTATTACGTAGGGACAAGGTGGGAATCCAAGATGGTCGCTAACCGGGTGTAATCACGCGTATATTGTTGAACAACTATAAGCAAATTACCAAATAATACATTTATTTCTGCAGTTTCGGAGGTCGTTTCCTTCATTGTACGTTTCGTTACGAGTCTGTTAGCATAACGAATTACAAGGGTGTGTTCTGCTAATTTAATATTAGTCAATACTATTTTTATTTTTAAGTTAGCTTGTATAAACATCAGCTTGTTCGCTTGATAGTAATGATAGGTTACATCTATGACAGTTCGGGGTGACGTAAATTTGCACATTAGATATTTTCTATGCAAATAATGGTAGATTTATAATGGCTCACCAGACTATTATTACTAACTGTATTAGCAGAAAAGGGGCGGTCGATAAAGGGTGAAGGAAATGTCGAAGAGGTCGACAGTCGAAAAAAATTTGGGCATCTCTGCTCTACCTCGTCGTTTTTATCGTAGTCTCTCTTCACTTTAAACATACAAAAGGACTGTATGTTTAAATGTGTAATGTTTAAACCGATGTCTCACTTGTTCGTGGAAAAAACTGATTGATTCTAGACATTAGCTTTGTCTCCAACAAGAATCAGTTGTTGTGAAATGTGCAGTGCAGCACTGTTTAATTTGTCTCGTATTTGTAGGCATTAACAACATACTATTGTTTTTAATATTAAATAAACATTGAAAGCCTTATACGGGTTTGCCAAATACTTAATACTGTCATATTGCCGTAAATTTCGATCGTCCTTTGTTATAAATATCCCAATGGGTAGTAAGGTGAACCCCACGAATATAAAGGCATTAATAATTTCCATATAAAATCATTCACACTGAAAACTTTACGAAAAAATAATTTATTTTTGACTTGCTTGGACTTTCATAAAAGCACGTGCAAGAAACAACAGTCGTTTATTGAGACGGGAAAAAAATAAACAATTTAAACAATTAAAATAAATTTGACTGCCTCAAAAATATAAAGGCATATAACAAAGTTAACTGAAACAATGACGTGTTATTAGGTTATTGTTAAAAACAATTCATTATTCAATGAAACCACCTACGGCTAGAATGAGTTAGTAAATGGTTTTGGTGGACAAATGCATTTATTTCCTCCTAGTGAGGAATTACGGCTTGTTTTAGTTCTCCACATTTATACTGTTGCAATTTGCATATACAGCTCTAGACAGAATCTCCAAAGATTTTCCATCGGATTACGATCAGGAGATTGAGGTGTTTCTTATAAATTGGCCAGCTCTTTAGCTAAATAGTTTGCACAACGTATTGTGGAAATCTATGGGTCTTTCAATAGAGCAATGCTCCCATTCACAAGCAAAGAGCGAGAGATTGCTCGCCAACGTGCCTCGATAATCATTTACAAGGGCTACAAAAAGCCCTTGTAAAAAAGGCAAGTGGAGTCTTGCCAACTAAAACCATCCCCACCATAACAGCCATCAATTTGTCGTTTGGTCCTTTCTGGCTTCTCAAACCATGCAGTAGTGACTCCAACCATCTGGACTATCAAGGATGATTTTTTTTCGTCACTCCAGATGATGTTTCCAGGTGTCCGTCAAGCTCATTTTTTCCTTGGACCTTAGTTAGTGGGCGCTAGTGATAGGGTAGCACAACTCCAATAATTGATTTGCCAATATTACATCTGCAATCTGGCGAACAATGGCTCGTGATGGCCTGTTTATAAGCTTTGAAGGGCGTTATTTTAATTTTCACAATGCGCCGAGGCAAACCCCTAACGGACTTAATAATTCTATTAAATAAATAAATAGGCTATGCAAATTTTTCCTTGTGAACGACTTTGTACGAAAATCTATTAATGCCTTTATATTCATGGGAGACACCCGATATATAGTTCGTTAATGCTTTAAACAAGAAAAATTTCCGGTGCATTGAAATTTTCATAATTTTCATAATTTTCAAATCTACTTTTTACGTAGTTCAGTTAGTGACCTAAATTTAATGCGAGATCGACAGTTCTTTTAGGATTAAAAGCTACGCAAACTCCCGCGATTATCGGAGGCTTTATCTAGATAAGTATGGTGCCTTGTCTGGTAAACACAATAGCCGTTAGTTCATCACGATTTGTTTGTGGCTCGTTTTAAAGCGATAGGGGAGATAACTAACGAGGGAAATCCATTGTCAACAATTCCTTGTCAGTGTAGTGCAGAAGCGCGAAAGTGGATCGTTTTTAAACATTTTTTTTCTAATCTTTTAAATACGCAATCTCACACAGGAAAAATACATTCGTATTCTAAGTTTTATCTTTAAAATCCCGAAAGCAAACACACGAAACGTGGCGAGTCTTTGTATACACGAAAGCACAGAACTTTGGGTTCCGTTCCACGAGTCGAATGGCAGTACAAAAAATATTAGGGATTAGTAAATAATTTCTCATTTTATTTTTGTCAAATATTCTTTAATAAGAAAAGTAAGATACAATCGATCGATTTTTCGAAACAAAAGTACAAAAGAAGAGAGAGGGAGATTGAGACGAACGAGGTCCCTTAGCGGTGTCCGAAGTGACTAACGCGTTATCGATCCGTCGGAGGGAGACTAAATTATTCCGAGGCGAAGAATATTCATTTATATTAAATATACAATAATAATCTTTATTACTTTCTTTTTTTATTGGTGGAGGAGTGTAATTAGCCGCTTGCAATGTTTCATAGGGATTTTTCTTTCCTCTTCTCTCCCAGGATCTTCACCCTCTGCTTGTACATGTTGTTCATTAAACAATACAATGCTAGAAAGAAAAAAAAGCAAAAACTTACTATGTTTATTAGCAGTTAACTTTGAATTTGATTTAACAGTTGAATTGGTTTGCACCTTACAGTATTAGAACAGTATGGTTCCATTTCAAAAGTTCAAACTTAATTTCTGTATACAGAAATCTGTCATTTAAGGAGTTGTATTAAGGAAATTGATAAGTAATTTATCATTTAAGACTAAATTGATATGAAATAAACTGTGACTGGATTAACAAAAAATTATGTTGAAAACATACAATTAGTTTAGTTATTACTTTCAGTTTGATTGTGTTATCTCAATAACTTGTTAGATTGTACCATTGTTTTTTTGAAGTTTTTTTTTAAATTTTAGGTTAAAAACTTGTATTAAATTATAGCTACAGATTTTAAATATATTTTGGTAAACTTTTAAATTTTGGACTGTAACAAAATTATAAACACAGGTTTAAAAATGATTAAAAGTTATTATAATTAAAGTTGCTTTTCTTATTATTAACAATAGAAGGCAGCAATACAGTGTTTAGAAATTTTGAAAAGATTTTAAACAATGCTTTGTGGTTGCAGTCTAACAGAACAATAAATTCATGAAATACATTTACTACAAGGATCTGGCAAATCATTGAGACAAGCAGCAGCTAGTGTGAATCATTCTACATCTGCTGTAAAACATGCCTTACAGCAAAAAGAACAATATGGAAAAACTAAATGATCTGCTAGGCCTGAAAGCCTGACTGACAGAGATAGACTCCAAGTATTTTAATTAATAACAAACGAAAAAATGGTAGAGCAGCTGAAGCTTTTCTTGATGACAAAGTATTGCAGATGACTATTATTTAGGGTTCTCCAAACAATCAAACTGTAAACTTCCTAAAAATTAACCAAACAGCACCAATTAGCTAACTTCCATGGGCAAAAGAAAAAAATATCCTGGATCTCAGTAGCATCAAATAGTGTTCACAGATAAAAAAGAAAAGCCATCTGGTCTATCTAAATTCCAAGTTACTGGCACCACTTATGAAAAAGTGAAAATGAGTAGACAGCATTGGCAGGTTTTGGACATAGTGGTAAGATAGGCATTGTTTTTATTAGTGGTAAAATGAACTCATTGAAAAATTATCAAAAGATGCTCTGACAACTTAATTATATTTGGGCCATTAATTGGTGGAACTAACTGGAAATTGCAACAGGACAATGTTTCAGTACATACCTCAAAATCAACAAAACAGTGGCTTGAAAAAGAAGAATTAAGGTAATAGATATGAAGTCCAGATATGAATCCCATTAAAAATCTATAGGGCTGTCTAACATTTGCTGTCTATGGAGGAAACAACCAGTATAACAGTGTAAATGAACTAAAATTGAAAATTATGAAAGCATGAGAAGCACTAACAGAAGAAAAAATTCAATGCCAGATAAATATTTTGAAACTCCACCTTTTGATGAAATATTCTAAGAAATAACAGTTAAGAATTATTTTATACTGTGACTGTAACAAAATTATAAACAAAATCTAAAAAATTGGATAAATGATGATAAAACTTGTTTTTTTTTAAGATTAATTATTATTTTATTTTTTAAATTAAGACTGTGTTTATACTTTTGTAACAAAACTGTACAGATAAGAGACTTAGCAGTGTGATATCATCAGAATGCAACTTCATTACTGGTATGCATTTTGGTACAAAAGACCCTGTAATTTTTGAGATATTACTTTCAACTAAAAGCTCTTCTATGATATGACAATCAAACTTTTTTTAATAAGGGAGGAGCCCAGTGAAGATGCATGTGCCAAATTTGAGTTTTTTGCAAGCCCTGCCATCATCTATTATAAGGAACTCCTACCATGGTGGTATGTGCCTGTTCTCCACAAAGAAATGAAGTAAAATACCTTAATTTACAATACTTGGACGTCTCTGGTAGAGGACGGGCCGTGCACCAAACTCTATCCTTAAGATTTGGTCGGCTGACCAGAAGCATGTATTGGAATGCATTTTTCAACAGGTAAACTACCTTTACCTGTTGCCTTAGTACAAGAGAGTTGCCTAGACAGTCTTTGGAATGCCCATAATAAAGTGGCAAAAAAACGTTTGAAGTCAGTTATTTTCAGGGCTTTGGAGTCACATAAAAATCTACCAACTCTGACTTTTGCCTTGCTATCAGACTCCGACAGGGGCGGACTTGTTACCAAAAGAAATTCTGATGTCATCACATGACCTTAGAATAAAAGATTCAATTCATAAGTAGAGTTCAAATAAAGATAGAGGAGTCTTTTTAGCTAAATAAAAAAGTTTCTACATTTAAAGTAATGACACAGTCAATATATAAATGTGTGTTCAATAATTTTTACTTTTCCGCTCTTGTATATAACAGAGGGAAAGTGTAGCACTCGGTCAGAAAATGACCCTCCCCAAATTTTTAATTTTTCGACTCGGGACACTTTGAAATTCCGAGACATGCAAAAGATTCAAGATTTTTTTCTATATGTGTGGAGGGGAGGCATGTTTTATTCACCCTGTTTGAAGCCTAATAACTTCTGTGGTTTTTAAATCGGAGTCGGTTGGTTTAACACAGGAGTTATTAAGCTTCAAAGTGGTTGAAGTAAATCGTGCCCCCATATATGTTCTAACATCTCAGGCAAGAATATCTTAATGGGTTTTACTGTACTATTATAGAATGATAAAAAGCATAATTTTTGAGGGTAGAGATGAGTTTTATAAAAAAAAAAAGTGTGAATGCTAATAACGAGTAAAATATTAAGTTTGACCATACAGAAGGGGTCATGTGTCATATCTCCAGTGTCTTCACCCTGTCGACCTTTAATTAATAACCAAAATTTAATAGCATTTAATAGCCCCTTTATACATAAGCTACAGTACCAAATTTTGTTTCTTAAACAATATCTCAGAATGGGTAAAGTTTATCTCAGAACAGAAAATAAAGAAATTAGACACAACACACGCACGCAAATTTTTCCCCTTTTATTGACTTTTTTTTGGGGGTTCGGGAGGTCTCCAAATGTGTAATTTGCAAAAAAACTTGGAATTGTCAAATTTGACTCTCCAATAGTTTTCCATTTTATATATGTAAAAAGGAGTCTGAGTCGGCAGCTTTTTTGACGACTGGATTCCAATCTATGCTGCAGGTTTGGTGTGTAAGCCCATTTGAGATGGAAGAGGCAAACTTGAAGACAAACCCAGTATCATTTTTGTTAAAGGAAAAGAAAACATTCCTAATCACATTATTTCAAAGACATGGGTCGTACCATGGCAGAAAGCCAAAATTAAGACTTAGTGGAGTGTATTGCCGTTATTCTGACGAACTTAGAAGCACTGGCAGAAATATACAACTTCTGCATTCATCATTGAAATGATATAGGTACAGTCAGATTTGGCATCAGGAGGAGCCAAGTTGAAAGCTGTTTTTTAAAAGCACAATGCCATAAAAAGGTAGTTTAGTTAAGTATTTCAATAGCAATAATCCTAATTTAAAATGTGCCATTGAATATACATTGACGGAATGTAAACTGTCTGGGGTCTTCCTCTGTCAGATGACACAAATGTGTAAATTATATGCAACTGTGCAATGCACTTGCCAGTTGTACCACCCGGATCCCAAGCAAGCCTTGACACATCTAACTAGTACAGTCGTTTGCTATTTTTATGTCTAAATTCACTAAATTATATAACATTTGGTCATGGTTACCCCCAATTTGTTGTAATTGCAAAACAAATTAAGGCATAGGAAAAAATAGTAAAGGTTATCAGAAATAAGGGAAGATTTTCTACCCTGTCAGTCAGAACTACAGTACTTCTAGCCAAAAGGCGTTTCAAACCTATCAAAAGCAGAAAAATGGATTATAGTAGTAGATGATTATTAGTAATGAAAAATCTCTTCCTCTTGTCTGAGGGGTTTTTTAATCTCCACTAACACATGAAAAAAAAATCGAAGCACAGGTGCACCCCTAGTGAGTAGTATATTCCCTCATCACTTAGTGCCAAGCTCTTTTAGACATTTGCTACTGTGCAGTACACATGTAAACATGGCGCCGCCAATCTAGTTTCCCGTCAACAGAAGTACAAGCAATAATTCGATTCTACAGGCCAAAGAGCTGAATGGAGGTGAAATCCACCAAAGGATGTGTAATGTGTATGGTGAGAACTTCGAGGTGTGTGTGTGAATAGTGTAGGATTCAAACAAGAATGTGACAATGTTTATGATGAGGGTGGTCACGGGAGGAAGTGTGTGATGACTGATGATTGGTGTGAGAAGGGAATTGGTTCATGATTTCTGAGCTCAGTGAAGAGTTTCCTCAAATTTCATTGTCCACACTATATACCATTGTAAGCTTGGGTTCAGCAAATTGTGCTCACAGACCATTGTAAGCTTGGGTTCAGCAAATTGTGCTCACAGACCATCACAAGACTAAGGATGGGTGCTGCCTTGACATTTTTGCAGTGTTACCACCACCAGGATGAAGAGATGTTCTTGGAAAGTTTGTGATGGGGATGTGAGTGTTGTTTGAAAATGTCCGAGACAAAGATGCAATGAAAACAATGGATGCACACTTTGAATTTTTTGGATTTCCTTGGAGACAATCATTTTCCACCAACAAAAGGATAGTAACTGTTTTCTGGGACAAAAGAAGCATTTTGATAACCAAATTTATGGCACCTGGGACAACCATCAATGCAACCATGAATTGCAAAACTCTTCAATATCTTAAGACAGGCAATCCAGAACAAAAGAAGAGGAATGCTGTCCAAGGGTGAGATCCTTGATAATGCTTGTCCTCACACAGCAAAAATAACTCAAACCCTTCCAGAGGTTCAAATGGAAGCAGTTTCCTCATCCACTGTACAGTCCAGATTTAGCACCAAATGATTTTCATCTGTTCAAAGTGGTTAGGAGCAGTTCACAAGTGACACTGAGCTGACTGAATGGCCAGGCGGAAACATTCTTCAACAATACAAAAGCTGGTGTCACAATATGATGTCTCCTGAATCGACAAGGCAATTATATGGAAAAATAGGCCAAGAATGTTTTTTTTTATTCTAGATTGGTGGAGGTTGAAAAACCCTCATATATATTTTCTCTGTAATTTAAATTAAAATAGATATATTGTTAAGATAGCTTAGTAGGTTTATTATATTCCTAATTATGCATATAATTTATATGAAAGTAATGATTCATTCTTACTATTGGATTACAAAATATCATCATTTGTCTGTTCTACTTTTGACATCCCATAAATCTAACAGGTAATGGATGGACAATAAACATGTAGATCCCAGGAGAAAGGTGTTAGAAAAAAGCCATTGTTGGTCACTTTACCATCCAAGGATACGCAGAAAGAAAGGTCAATTGGGTCTATCTAACATCCAATCAAACCGAACTACGGATACCTAGGCAAATAGTTTAAAACAGACCATAATACCACAAGATAAATAGGAACCTCCATCCCGCATTCTCTACAAGCGAGTCCAGGTGAAGAAAATTGTCTTATCCTTTTGAAAAGGCCATGCAGACTTCACAGACAATTTAACCTGGACATCACCATGGACTTTGATTTTTACAAAGGCAGCAAACCATCTCTAGCAAAGCAATTCCACCAGAAAAAGAACTGTGACATTGATGGTGATGGGTTAGCGTGCCCCTTCACTACAATTGTTCATGGAATTCAGAAGTTTCAAATGTAGACTTCAGAGTTAATGGAAGTGTATTGAAAAACATCTTGCTCCTTATGTACCGTACTGGTACATAAACACTTATCCAGTATTGCTAGGTAATCTTTTGGCTGGATTTATCCAGACAAAAGCTGAGTTAAGGGAGTATCAATTTTATCCACAAAGAAAATTATTTGCCAGATGTTCTCCAGCTCCAATATTCAACAATGGATATACTCTTCATAAAAATACTAAAAGAGAACATTTGAGTTGTTTCAGTTGAAACATGTTTTATTAAATTTTATATATATTTAAAAGGGTGACCAGACTGGTAAAAGCAATTTCATAACTTTGCATATTAAAAATNGTGGCCAAAGAGGATTATGGTCAGCCTCTCGCTATAATGAATCCGAGAAGAACAATTTCCCAAAAATATTTTATGGGCGGTCTGTCTCGAGTGCGTCAGGTCGCATCACTCACTACTCAATCGCTTGTGTTGTGTGTATGACATCAATGTGTTTAGTGCCCAGGGGATCAACAAGACTATGTATGTATTTCACAATTTTTTTAGTTTTATTTTTGACTCTTCTCCGTGGCTCACCAACGCTGTAAGTAAATAACCAGGGCCGTGCGGTAGATTTTCTCAGTATGATACAAGTCATCGAAATACCACCCTTTAAATGCTGCACCCTTACGGTACCGCGTCTTGGGGCCACCTCTCTGTATCATAGCACGGCAGACGGCAGGCCCTGTAAATAACTATCAGTTTCGGTAGTTTTATAACCACCGAAAATCATAGTCATGTTCGCGCTAACCAACGGGCTGGTTGCATGAAGTTTAAAGGCTTTCTTCACGCGAGGCATCAATCCTTGGCAGATCGCACGTGTCTTTTTTTTTTTNAACTATAGGAAACGGTTTTATAGGGGGATCTACTGTATTTTCGTATCAATATAGAAGTATCTGCAGAACAAACTTTCTTGTCGACTAGAATACTAATTAGATAATAGTAATAGTTAAAAACTTACCATAGAAAATGAGAAAATGTAGACATGCTAAAGCAAAGACAAAATCTTTTTCTATAAATACTTACTTGGAAAAAATCCCATCAATAAATAAACTCTCATGAGAGTGGGAAAATGCAGGGAGAAATTCCACGCATTGGGTAGTTCCAGAGAAAATTTTTTTGTCTCTTCGAAATAGGGGATGTTTCGTAATATTATCACACCTAAAAATAGACCAGAATTTATTTTTGATATATTTGTATGAGAAATAAAAGTGACAAATTTCGAAATATTTGTTGTTGTTTCTTCTATACTAATATTATAAAGAGGTAAGTTTGGATGTAGCGGGTAATCTCCGAAACTACTCATCCGATTTCAAAAATTCTTTCACCAATATTTAGAATGGACATAGGCTGTATATTATTCCGTTAAACATTCGTATAAATTAAAAGATATAATCTATGGTTAAGGCTTTTATGTCCAACAGATGGCACTACGAGTACGATGCCCTAAGTTTGCTTTTCTGTGAAAATGAACTAAAGCAGATCATCATCTATCTATATAAATAAAAATGTAATGTTCGTTTGTTCCTACCGATTCCTTTGAAATTTTTATACAATGCTGCATTCGAATACGCACGTGTTTTTATATTAATATAATATACATGTCGAAATTCAACCCCACTGAAGGGAGATGGTTAGGATTAAGGCTTACGGTAAAGAACTCTGCTTCTATTTATACTATTTTAGATGCGGGTTTTTGCGTTTTTGATTGCGTTTTAATAAGGTACGTCAACAGAATGTACACTAACAAGAAATTTTTTCAAAAAATTTCCTCCCCCATGGGGGAAGTGTTATAAATTTATAATAGATACATTTTGAGCCACAACAACGCGTGGAGGGGTCTGCTAGTATTACTATAATTTTGTTGAATCTCGAGAAACTGAAAACTGTCAATGTTAACATTTAAGTAAATTTCTTACGAAGATGTCTGCCCAATGAATCCTTGTGTATTATATTGAGTTTGTGCCATCTGCACACAGTTTATTTGGGACTATAACAATTTTTTTCAAAGTACCAAGACATTCTTTAAATAACGAAGTTTGATGTATAAGATTTACGTATTGATATCCTTGGCTGAACTTTGTTAGAAGTTCACCATAGATCATGGGTATGGGATGCAAGATGTAATTTTCTGAATGTATTAGAAAATGAAACTTGTGATAAATTTTTCATCTTCTCTATTGGGGTACAATCATAGTTTCACATGGGATTGAAAACACTTCTTTCCTATTTGTATAAAGTATGGTTTCTTATATTGTCAATTTATAAATTCCTTGGGCCAAGGAAAATATATACAGTAGAGCATCGATTATCCGACCCCCGATTAACCGTCACATCGATTAACCGACCATTCTAGTAGGCAAATTCAAATGTCCGCTAGTGATGTGGCGCTACAATATTTGGCTGTCTTGGCTACTTTAATAGTACTTTTACATGTTTTAGCTAGCAACATTGCCTCGACCATGAAAGGAAGTCAGTATTTAAATGAGGCTTAATTTTCTAATTATGAGTGGTTGTTTGTTTCGTGAGCAATAAAATAATTTAAAAATAATTTTTAACGATACAATAGCGACGATTATTATTTTAAAAAATTTTTGTTAGGCTTAACATCGATGAAAATTCAATGCGAAGTAGGTTAATAGCGATATACTAATATACTATACTAATAATGTATTTTTTCGTATTTTTCGGTTATCCGTTTTTTCAGTTATCCGACCAACCCCAGTCCCCAATTGAGTCGGATAATCGATGCTCTACTGTATTAAAGAGTCACCCAGCAAAATGATTAATAATGTGACTTATTAAAAAAATATGGCTAAATTTTTCATTTTCTCTTTTTTAGCAAAACGAATAGTGTTACGAATGACTTTTGTACACGTACCTTCGCACAGAAATCCCAATGGGTAGAATGGTATCCAGATGGTGTATCTCAGCCATGTCAGAATGCCAATGTCCACGCTATATGTTCTAAGCATGTAATATGGATATCTGAAATTATCAAATAAACATTAATAAAATCTATATAAAATATATTGTGATTTCTAAAGATTGGAAATTTTTCTTACCTGATGACTTCTATGGTGGCATATATTACAAGTAAATAAAAGACCACCGGTTTGGTCTGCATTCTCGGTTCCCCACCGATCATCAGGAATAGCATGGTCACTCGTCCGAACACCTACATTACAATTTTAAAAGTTAAAACTCTCAACTATTCTCTTTTTTGGTTCATTGTCACGACTTGGTGAATTTATTGACACTTGGCAAATAATTTCATCGTTGTGATGTATTTGCCGCTTCCCTTTTTCTTAGATAATCTTGGATTAAATATGGATTATTCTTTTTGATAATTAGTTTGACACAACAAAAAAAACTTTGTCTCTAACTACTATTTGTCAGGGATCTGGTATTTGGAATATTATACAAAAATGAACATTTTGTCTGACCAGATGACAAAATCTGGTCAGAGAAAATTACCTTGATCGCCCAAGTTAATTTTGACATTCGTGTGAGAGTCAACTGAATGGACTCACCTGAACTGTTGGGAAGACAGCGTTACCGGAAGTATAGCCTAGGAGTGGATGCAGTATCTCCAGGAGCTGCATCAGAGTGCAGAACTGAAATGCCTTTCCAATTGCACTGTACGTTCCCTCCATCGACACTAAAATATAAAAAAGGCATTTGTTTTATTATTAAATATTTTGCTCTATGGGTGCCAATAAATCCAGTTACATATAGTGTAAATTTGCATATGCAATCTACATATGGCAGAACAACTAACACAATATTACATCCATTTGGTTTTTGCCATAATTTGTCCCATAAATAACATCTCTGAAGATTTGTCAGTAATGCCATAATCTCATAAAATTCCAGTTGTGTAAAAATATTCTAAAGAACCATTTTTTGACAGAATTTACTGCACACTTCCCCTATTACTTCTTTATTTCTAATGTAACGTATCCTTTTTTTTTTTTTTTAACATCTTAAAAATGCATTTATCATACTATCTTGGTTTTCAAAAATGCAGGGAAAAACAAAAAACAACTGCTCTAGAAAACCACAGAATAAAAATTATTAGTGTAAATGCACTTTGCATTTACACTAATTATTTCTGCATTTTAGTTTTATGTTACGCTTTGTCCTTTTGACGACAATGACAATAGCACACTTCGAACTCAGAAACAATGTTAGGAATTACTCTATTTAAATTTGTATTGTTTGTTTTTTAAAAGATATATTGGAATAAGTTATTAGCATGTAGCATTCATTTTAAATTTGGTTTTCAGTTTAAAAAATATCCACAGAACTATTCTAAACTGTTCTGATATCATAATGACTCCACCATATATATGTTAAAGAACATAAAGATTTTGAGCATTGCAAATAGATCTTATGCCTGCTTGGACTCAAACAAGGTAATTTGTATTCTGTCCCGAGAATGCACGTTTGCTCTTACAGTATTATGACATTTAGTACGCTAAATGTTAGTTAAAATAATATGTAAAATTTAGTTACAATTTGTTTATTATCAACGTGTATGAATTTGGATCTGGAAATTTTCTAAATCAACCATGTAAAAAAGATTTTTTAAATTTTCATTTAAAATAACAACAGCATTTTAGTCATTAAAGATCATCTTCATACTTCCATAGCATTTAATCACCGGGAACAAAGTGCTCGGTGATTGGACATGATGAAAGTACGAAGCCAATTTCTTTCAAGTATTTTTAATTTTTAAATTATCAATTTTTTCAAATACAACCTGGAAATGCTTTGCATACTTTGTAAATACTGTACCATCTTTCCTTTTTTGTTTTACATCTTCCTTCCAAGGTAGACATACAAGAAAGAATTTTGGTCTAAACCCAATTGGATACCGGGCTCCAAATCTGAGAAGAAAAGAAAATTTGGAGTTAATCTGGAAAAGAAACAACTCAGACTGGTCGTACGAAACACTGACACAAACTATAGACCCGCTCTAAAGTGAGTTCAATGAGTTCAACTCGAGAAAAATTTCACAATAAATGGTACTTTATTCATATAACCAAGCAGATTCTTAAAACACATACTGACAGATCCATATGACAGAATATGGATCTGAAGTACATATTTCATATGTACTTCAGATTGAAAAACAACTGAAATTTTATTCTCTGTTTGAGTTTCAAATTTGTTCTTTCAGTAAAGTACTTTTTAAAACAGAGATCTCTGGATATTACAACAACTGTAGCTATGATTGGTTATTTCATGAAATATTAACTCATAATCTTAGTAGAGAATTTTTAACCCATCTTCCCACTCGGAGTAACAGATAATGCGTCTTTCCACCACGATGTCACAAAATGGCAAATATGAGTACATAACTGTCAGTTACCATAGGCAAGTTGTGAATAAGAACAAAGTTAACTAATCAAGCACTTCACAAAATTTCAGAGAAATGCAATTGCAAGTTTTAAAGGACACTCTAACAATTAATTAATCCAAATACCCACCAGCCAGATTTGCTCAGTTACTTTTCACTAGTAAAATTAATAACTCAAAAAACCAGCAAGTATATATTTGGATTAATATAAGAAGAATTTCTTATAATTTAATTTATAACAAATAATATACAATGCACACTAACCAATCCAAACTAATTATGGCACTGGATTAGCAGGATTACTATTGCAGAAAAACAAACAGAATCTGTTGATCTGAATAAGACGACACCCGTAATTTAATGTTGTAACTCGAACGTAATGGTTATTTCCTCCGAGGCCATATATACAAAAATAATAATAAATAATTTAAAGTACTCACGAGGTCCGTCTTTTGCATATCTGATGGATATCACAATTAAACAGTACAGAAAACCCACAAATTGAAATAAGTTATAAAGTAGTAGATAAATCTTTCTGAAGTCTTCCACTGTAAAAAAATAAAAAATATTTTAGACAATTTTAAAATAACTCTTACCATAAATATAAAATATTTTATTTTTTAATTAAAAGCAAATTTTTTTATAGTACTCTTAAATTTCTGTTTGAGAGCTATTTTTCTTTCTTGGCTGTTATAACACAGGGAAATATTGCGATTGCATCAAATTTGACCCTCAGTTTTTTGCAAATTGATATTTCGAGATCCTCTAAACTAAAAAACATCCCCCTGTGTGTGTGTGTGTGTGTGTATTTTGATGCCTATTCCCTCACCCCACCACATACATCGATACAGTGCATTTAAACACAACCAAACATAGAATTCAGTCACGTCTATGTTTAATCAGGTTTTGAAGTGGGAGGCAGAGCTGCCTGTAAAAACATCGAAAATGTACCCGAGACTGACAACAGTGCATTTTAAAATATAAACCTTCTTGTCTTATTTAAAAGCAGATAAAATTTGAGTCACTTCATATTGTCAAATTTTGCAAGTTAATAAATAAAGATTTTTGATTTTTTTTTCCTATTATTATTTTCACAAAATTAATTTGTATAATCATCAGAATATTTAATTGCAATATTTTATTAACAAATAAAAGTTAAATACAGTAGATCTAATTCACAAATTTTACCAAAGATATTTTAACTTTTTTAAACAAATCCAGAAAGTAATTTTTTGAATGTAAAGTTTGAGATTATCACTAATATATTTGTGAACATGTTAGGCACTCCTTCTCTTAGAGAAGTGTAGTTTGATCATTTTTAACCTTTTTTAAACAAATAACATTTTTTTCAAATTGTCATACCTTTCTTTTTTGTTTTCCTTCTAGATCTTGCAATATCGTCCAGGAGATCGTCATAAGTCGACTGAAAATTTAAGAAAGTTTTATTCAAAATTAATACAGATCCACTAAGACTTGTAAAATAAAACCCGATTTTAGTTTTCAAAATTAAAGTAAGTTATGTTTATCTCTAGAGTGATCTAAAATGACAAAGAAATTTTATCAAAGTGTGTTCACATGGTAAAATTATGGAGTTTCATAAATAGTTACGATTATTGTTACCAGTAGTCTATAATGGCATTGCCGTCATCTTGGCATCGTAACGGCAGCATTACAAAGACATTCTGCAAACTTTTATTGTTCCTAACTATACCAGAGAGTTTAGAGTGGGATGGTATATAATTGTGATGTTACTCAAACATCATATTTATGGAACATCTTGCAGCACAGTCATTGTAAGAGACATACCGCTTACACATTTAGTGACAAAAGAGTGATCGGCTGATCTTTTCAAATGCAACAGCCTGCCCATTCACCCAATCTCACACCTTGCAACTTCTGGTTATGGAGTTATTCAAAATACAGAATTTATGCAGGTAGAGTTGCAGATTCACGAGAGTGGACAAATTGAGAGGGTAGCAAGTCTCGTGTCATGCTTGGCCATCATTAATGCAGTAACACAGATATGCTTTCTGCCACTCCGTCACATATTGCTACTAACAGTTTCTTTGATGCTGCCACAATCGTGGTGCCATTAAAGATCCCTTAGAAGTGAAAATTGTAATTACTTTTGAAAATCCAACAGTAGTTTTCACTTTGTTAAGATAAAATTTTGTTAGCACATTCATCTTTATGAATTTAACAGTTTTATTTCTGGAGTGGTCCAAGGCAGAATACTTTAGAGACTTTATTATATTGGTGTTTATAATTAATGGTTATAAAAAATTTAATTAAAAGCCAAGAGTCGTGCCTACATACAGAATTTCAAATGTATCTATCTAAATATGGTAACATTTCTGGCTCACAGTCTACTAATTAAACTGAAAATTATATTCAAAATGTTTTTTCAAATAAAACATGACAAATGTAATGTCTCTTGTAATCTCAATTCCATCAGTTACATACTTCAAAGGATCTCTATATGGCTCGAGAAGCCGAATGTATTTATTTTTTACTACATGTTTCAAGATGTTTGTTAACATATCAGATTGAATGTATTAAAAATGTTTTAATTAATTAATTTAAGTATAAAAGCAATACATGTGGAATGCTTTAAAGTCGCTCACCCTTTTGTCTTCGAGTAAATTTCCACTGTCCGACTCGTCGTCTTCTGTTTTTAACCTATCGAAATCGATCTTCAGCCACACCGGTTTCTTCTTTTCGGCAATCAGTCTGGGCCACCACTCTTCTTCCTTTTTCACTATGCTGAAATCTACTTCGCGATCCGTAATTCTATATTGGCTATCCTTGGTAAATAATAATAAAATTTATATAAATGAATTCCCAATAAAAATTAACTTTTGACATAATACTTCACTTAATCTCTGTCAGAACCATTAAATATATGTTATTTCCTTAAAGATAAAATTAAGTAAAGGTAATACAGGAAAACATCAAGGGATGTAATTTACTATATTTCTTGTTAATCTTCCTTGATATCTATCTTAGAATCCAACAGGAAAGTATATTAAATCTGTTTAGTATCACGTAACTCTATTTCTAGGAATATAATTTCAATGTACAGTATTATAGCAAACCTATGGAAGATAGTTTGGCTCAATGACAACTCGTTATAATTTTCTGGGAACTAATTACATCACAAAAATAAGGATCATCTACAGAACGACAGAAAACGAGACATGTTACAAAAGAAAGGAACAAAGAAACAGATTCAAAATTAAAATTTTGATGTTAAATTTTAAACCACTCCTTAAATTTTTGGACTGAACTGAAAGACAGCATTTTTATGAGAAAGACATTTAGACAGATCTATATACAATCTGGATCTAAAGATTCAAAATACTAATGAATAAAACTTTAGCCCTCTGCTCAGATTGGAAAAAAAAAATCTTAAATATTCAGTTCATCTAATATACAGGGTCTTCAAAATAAATGCTACCATTACCATTACCATTAAGTTACTGTAAGCTAAATGTTACATTAACATAATTATTATCCAAGAAATACAAGATGCACGACAATCGACAGAGTGGAGTGCTTATCATACTTTAACGCCGAAATGGCAACGGAGAAGGTGCTCACGTTCTGCAGTTTGCAAATTCAGAATCGCTCATCACCGTGCAACACAAGTAATCTGTAGGAGCCATTGAATTGTGGCTGCCTTGGGAAGAGTGACAACGGATCTGCCACGGAGAGCGAAGGAAAAATCTGAGTATATGTCGAACACATGCACACATCGGAAAATCATATCGGCCAAATGTGAAACTCGGACAGTTTTCCTATGTTCTAACAATTACTATCCGAGAATGTTGTAATGTAATATAATTACAATAATTTAAAATGGCAGAATTCTTTTTGGAAGACTGTGTATACACATGCAAGATAAACTACTTTATCTAAAGTTTTGCTTGTATCATTTTTATTCTAATCAAGATTTGCAGAAATCCCTCAAAATAAAATAGAATAACAATTTCTCATTCAGAGACATTACCATTAATTCCTCTTCAGGAAAGTTATAGAAAAAGTAAAAACAGATGCCTAAATTGAAAAGAAATGTAATGCTAATTTCTATTATTATGTAATGAGAAGAACAGAAATGTAATTCTCTTAATATTTCATTTGCAAAATTCCTATTTTCCAAATTTAGAAGATTAGAAATACCAAAATTGATCACAGCAAAAAATTATTAAATTTATAAAATTTAATATGCAAAATTCCTATTTTCCAAATTTAGAAGATTAGAAATACCAAAATTGATCACAGCAAAAAATAATTAAATTTATAAAATTTAATTTAATACAATATACTTACAGGGTAGTTTTTACTATAGCTTACAGCAGTGTTTCCCAACGTGGGGCCCACGCCCCACAAGAGGGCAATTCGGAAATGGACTTGTCCAGAGTTTAAGTTAACTGTATAGCCACTGTATATGTTAGGGGGCATAAGAATTTTAGAAAGGCTTAGGTAGGGCATAGCACAAGGTTGGGAAACACCGGCTAACAGTGACTGTATACAAAAATGCGTAATAAATGGATTGACGGAACATAACGCTTAGGTAACTCCAAAGCCTAACATTGGAAATTTCTTGCTGATCGAATTTAGGCTTACGTTATAAGCCTAATTTTTAACGTTTGAATCGAATGGATGGAACGGAACATAAGCATAGGTATAATATGCATCTCATAAGTTAATATAATAATCCAACGATCGCCTAAATATTCGAGCTATATATAATATATCCCGGATCAGTTATATACTTCCAGAAGGTTCTAAATTATTTATTAAATTAGAATTATTAATTTACATAAGAGATGGCGCCAAATTTATTAGTACCAAGTTTATTTGTATTAATTATAGCCCGGATATTTAGGCGATCGTTCGATTATTATAATAACGCATAAATAACAAAAATCATTGCGCATGCGCGTAAAATCTAACAGACTGACAAAAGTCGTAACATATGCACTTCTTCCACTACCGTGAAGCAAGCCAAAAGAGAAGAAAAGTTTTTAGAAAGATTAATTATTCTTATTTATTTTTTACTTTTTTTCCCGCAATGTGTCTTCGTCTATCTTCGATAAAATTGTTTACTATTTTTAAAGTAAATAAACAAAAATTAATCTCAANATAAAATTTAATAGTAAGTTAGTGTAATAAACATTTTTCTAATTTTTGTTTTGTTTTAGGATCCTTTTTTTTATTGATATTTTTTACAACTTTACTGTTAAATTTAATAGTACTGTCGACATAACTTTAAAAGTTATCGATAAATTCATCGCATTAACAAAGATTAAATTTGAAATTGTTACTTACGTTGGGATCGACATTCTGATAAAACTTAATCGTGAAATAGTATTGATTCTGTCCCTTGGCTCCGATCCCATTTGCGCTGAACTCCAATTCGTTGCATGTCAGGCTTACGTTAGGAGCCTAAAATGATTCATTTTACGATTATGTCGATTAAAATTTTGCTTTTAAAATATTTAAAACATAAAAGTATATAATCGTTACAAAAGTATATATAACACACATTAAAATGATTTATATCAAAATACTCAAATTGTAAGAATCAATCAACTAGAAATTATATACAGTATTATAAAAAATATCCTGTAAACTAATTCGGTTTAATTATAGTATAATAATACCCTATAATTTAGGAGTTTTGAAATAAGAAACAACCGTTTTGTCAGATTAAACTAGAACTGTGCTCATTTTTGACGCGAGTAAATTGAGCCAAGCAAGATTTATGCTCATATCTAAATTTTATTTAGTGCATTTCAAAATACAAGCAATGATATCTGATTTTGGGAACTATTCCTTTCAAGCCCGTGTGTACAAGCTTTTGAACTTCATGTTGCCAGGCAATGATATTTACAAATACACAAACTAACAGAGGCGTTAGACTGGAATTTAGATTCAACAAGTCACGTTAAATTGAATGCCGAGCAAAAATCGAGCAAAGTGTATTTGTTTATGCCTTAAACAGAACCAAACTGCCTCGCACGCTTTGTAAGTACCTAAAAGACTGGCTTAACTCTACGGTAGAGTCCTCCCGCAATATTCCTCGACGACACAATACAATTGAGATTTCAAATAGCTTATGACATTTACCAACCGGGACTCGACATCTGTACCAAATTTCAATTGGGCAGTTTTGGAGGAGTTTATTGAAATCCAACAACATTCGAGCATAGAGAAATGAGCTTCACTTGCTCAGCTCAATTATCCAAGTTAGCAGTCATACAAAATTTACAGGACCCAAAATTAACTAATATTTCAAAATTCTTTGCAATACAAAGTATAATAAATAAACATTACAATCTATAATAATATAAATAAAGTAATTCTTTAAAATTCTGCTAAATATTTAACCAGATTCTATTAAGTTGTTAATTTGTGAAGATATTCATGTAAAATAATGAAATCTGATTGATTAATAATTTTTAAGCCGGGGAAAAATATACATTTTATTACGTTATACTGTATTACACCAAAAATTCTTAATTTACAAGTAAACTAAATTTTATTACGTTTATTAAGTGATCAAACACATCACACCTTGTAAAAAAAAATATGTTTTCATTATTATAAGATATTTTTGGTATATAAACAAACATGTCCCCATACCATTGAACTGTAATCTACTATCTCGATTGTAAATTTGTAAAAAACTGGGATCATAAAACTAACCTATTTGAAAATTTTTAGCAGTAGCACCACGAAATTCTGCCACTTAAAGCCGGGCCTTCTACGACCTCGTCTATGTACTTCGCAAATGTAAATATTTTTTTATGGAACTTATGCCTAAATTGGTGATTTGGTTGACGTAATTTAGAATATTTTTAATTTTAAACTTATATAAATAAGGATTACTTGAGAGGGAAAACAAGCAGTTGATACCTTATTGATGTTTTCCAGAGTATTTACTAACATAAGATCATCCTGAAGCTGTTGTGTTTTGCAAGATCCATTCTAGAGTTGTTTTTCTGTGCCATAAGTCTAGGAACCCGCTATGCATCACACTTAGTGTATGTATCGTAGACTGCCAACCCAATATAATGAGAAAAAAATGAAGTCTATCAACACTTTGTGACAGCTTAGAATATAAAGGACTTCATTCTCATTGTCTCAAAGACAATTAGAATGGTATACAATTATTAGTTTTAATCTTATAAAACAGTGTCGATTTACAGAAGCTATTTTTGGAGGATGATTACAATGGACAATTTCTTTCATAACTTATATGTAACGTTTGCTGCTTTGTCTCCATTTATAATCTGCTTCAAAAAGTTAATATTAACCAAAGAAATAAAAGAATATTGCTAGATAATGGTCTAAGAAGTTATATTCTGCATCACTGGCAAACTTGCTTGCATGCCAGTCCATGCAAGTTTTAGCTTCAATATTAAAGTCTTTCCTTAACTGAAATGGTTACATTATAGTTTTTAACAGGAACCTTTTGGTTATGCAGTCAATAAGGTCAGACAGAGATAAGATTAGAAACAAATTTACTGGATGAATTGAATTCTTGCTTTATCTATCATGATAGCTGTAATTATTATTATGTGGATTTACACATTGTTTTCTAGTTACCAAACTAAAAGAACATTTTTGACAAACTTCATATTAAATTCTACAAATTTAAAAGCATTATCACTTTGGGTACAAGATGCACATGCTAACTTAACAATACGATAAAACCTCGTTATTTTGAAACTGGAAGGACCAAATAAACACGCCTTTGAATTATCCAAAATTTTTTTGTAATTCTTCTCAAATAAAATTATGACATTATCTTATATAATTTCACCCATTCGGTTACGAGTTATTACTTACAAGGGGACCTTACGGTCTCGGAAATTCAGTTCGGGATGAGACTTCACAGGTTAGTAGTATATACCTCAAGGGTGTCCACCAAGAAGAATTGTAAAGTGCACTCACTAGCCAGAAGATTCCAAGAAAAAGGGCTCTAAAGTTTTAAGCACAGCTCATATACTGGTCGATTTTACACTATAGTAGCACAGTGAAATGGGTGAGTCTGTAACGAACTCGCTTGCCAAGTGGGCAATCTAGGTTCGTCCTACCTTCGGCTAACTTTTTTCTTTTTTTTTAATTGTTTTAAAAATTATAACAAGTTAGCCAAAGGTAGGACGAACCTAGATTGCCCGCTTGGCAAGCGAGTTCTTTACAGACTCACCCATTTCGCTGTGCTACCATAGTGTAAAATCGACCAGTATATGAGCTGCGCTTAAAACTTTAGAGCCCTTTTTCTCGGAATCTTCTGGCTAGTGCGCTTTACAATTCTTCTTGGTGGACACCCTTGAGGTATACTACTAACCTGTGAAGTCTCATCCCGAATTGAATTTCCGAGACCACGAGAGCCCCTTGTTAGTAATTTAAAGGTTTTTTCCAAAATAGCTTATTTGGCACATACTTAATGAAAACATAACAAATCTACATTCAAAGCAAGATCTGAAAATAACTTAAGTGCTTCAATAAGAATTACCCATGAATTTTGGACCAATGGCTAGTTCTACGAAGAATTCACCATCTTTGGTTTGAGATTACTAAAATCGCACATTACAAAAACAAACTGCATTAACGACTAAAGCTACATGCGCATTCTATTGCAAATATGCACATATATTTAACGGACTTTAGAATTATCAAAACAATAGATTTTTTCAAAAAAATGTCCGAATTAATTAAATTCCAGATTTCTTCCATAAAATTAAAAAGAATAAAAAAATTCTCTCTTTATTGGCAACGTGTACAATGTCTGAATGACCTTGAATGCACCTCTAATAAATCAACAATGTATAATTGGTAAAACTGAAAACAAAATTGCCACTTGGGCATAGAAACTTTCCTTGTAAACACGTGATATGATAGAAGGTTTCAATGTAAATGATATTTTTGCGGTTCACCAGACAAGATAATGTCTTTGAGTTTCACTGTATGCATATTTTGAATTATCTGAACTAAAATATATGCAAAATCCTATTCTCTTGGCCAGGACTAGAATTGACTTTGAATTAAGCAATACTCTGAATTATCTGATATCAAAATAACGAGATTTTACTGTGGATGGAAAAGACTGGCTCCGATAAGAGAAGTATGTGATGCGATACTTTTAAGATTTCTCAAATAGATTACTGTAAATGACTTCCAAATCATAAACGAAAAAAATGCTTAAACATACGTCATACATGAACATAGCTAATTAAATCATTGATTTTGTTCATCATCTCTTTACAATATGACTGGTTAACATGGTTGATGACTTTAACGGATGGAATCGTTTACAGATATTTGTCTAGTCGGCACGTCATCCTTCTTATATTCTGTTAATCTCCAACGATCCAATCTCGTGTAAGCTAGCAGCTTCAAAGGCCTAGTAAGGTGAGCCTACAAACATTGTGTTATATGGTGTATTATACACGAGCAGTGAATTTAAAAGAATTAAAAATGTTGCCATTACGTATGGCTTTTTATACAATTGAAAGACTTACGTCATTGTATGAATATGCTACAAATAATGATACACATCATACAAATTCAGAAAGGTTTTGTACATAAATATAAAGAGATTGTTAGGAAAGCAAACTCTGAGGTCATAATCAAATGCAATCCTATAATGCCTATCCTAAAGTGTATGTGTAAAGTCTCATTTATTCTGAAAAGACAAGGACACTATGCACCTTGCTATGCAGCTGACGTGTAAGATCCTGGCAAAAGATGAACAGTTCAACTGCAACCAAGTTTACACCAAATGCACTTCCAGACAATTACAAGAAAAGAATCAAAGAGCATCCATATAATGTGGTGTTGTAAGATGAAGCATGGGTCATCAAACATATCAATAATATTAACATTGCTAAGTTTGCAGAAATTATCCATATATACAAATATAGAATAAAAGAATTGTCTCGACCATCATGATGCAATGTTTATCCGATGCACAAAAGTTACTATGGTAGAACCCTGCTTATCCAAGCCCCAATTAACCAAGATTCCATGTTATTTGAGGGTAACGCATGCTACTTTTCTTACAATCCATAAAAGTTTTGCTATGAATGCACTTAGCACGTAAGTACCATAATACAGTAAAGTGTAGATAATCTGGACTATCTGGAAATTAATCCCATCTGGAATTTTCAAATATATGCGTAAATTAAGCACCGTAAACTCCGAATACGTTATAAATCAAGTTTAGATGTTTTAAGTTAAGACCTGTGTATTTCACAGGAATGTAGAAATACTCGCATGCATTCAAATTATTATTTACAAAATCACTAATCCCAATTTCAAAATTATGAATTCTGAATAAATGTCATCGACAATGAAGTTACCATTCGAGATCCATCCATTTTTCGACAACCAAATCTGAATTTTTGCTACTTTGTTGTATTTTTTAGCCTCAACCGTATCGAGCAAGTGGCCAATACTGGGACAATGTTTTTAAAATTCTATGCCTTTTGGATCTTTGTTCCCATGTTTGTTGCTGGTTTGGTCAGGCCTGCAATGAGTGCAACAGAGTGAGGAGGAAAGAATCTGATGTATCTGGGTTGGACTTCTCATGGATAATGGCGCAGAAGTGATGGTGGAACATTGTAGAAAAAAGAGGGAAACCACAAAAAAATCATTGCTTTAAATGCTCCTTGCATTTCTTAACATTTTGACACTCCATAAACTGAAAAATGTAAAACACTGTTACAAAATTCTGCATTTGTTTGCGAGTGTGTCGACATCTATTTCAGGACCGAACGAACCAAAATTTTGAACCTGGGCAGAACAATTTCTATATATGGGGCATCGATGCTATTAAATTTTGATAATTACAGGTCACAGGAGTTGGGAGTCACGTGTCAAATCTCGAGTGACGTCAGACTTACGAAAGTTTTACTTGTTATTGGCATATAAAACTCGCCTCTAAGATTTTTGCCTTTTTATAATACTTATTAATATAAAAATTATGTAATAAACTTTTTTAACAAATAGCACTGCAGACAAATTTAATTGTGTGTTTCATAAATTTAAATGTATTTAAAAAAAACATAATTTGACAGAATTCCTTTTAAGCTTTTGTTGCTATTAAAATTGCGGCACAATTGAAAATTATAGAACTTCCTCTCCTCCAATTCTCTTATCCTCCCGTTCGAGTGCTAGAAAAGTTGAGCATGAGCACTTGCTAGTTTTTTTTATTCTTAAAATTATTTTATTTAATTAATTAAAATTTAGATTAACTGTAAATTAATCTATGTGTAGTAATGTATGTTGCATTTATTTAAATTCATCAATTTGCAAAGAACAGAGAAAGACATTACCATCACCACAATGCAACACCTGCAAAATCCTCAACAGAAATGCATTCACAACATCCTTCTAGCAAATCGTGAATTCATTCTAGACCGGTAGTTCTGGAGTCTGTCGATCTCGTGGACCTCTTAAACAAGATCGTGGACCTATTCCTTGGTCTACTTCTTATCCCATAATTATCACCTTAGATATTGATAGATTGTGGGTACAAATGCAGCTCTGAACGAGGCAGTTGGGACTTTATCAGAACCGTACGTCATCATGCCCGTAAGAGTAAAAGTTGTCAAAGGGACCGAACGGTCTACACATGACTCCGCAAGATATGGCCTCCCAAAATTGGACCAGAGGCTCGATAAGCACTCGAGACGTCTAACAGACCGTGCGGCACAACTCCGGCACTCGGTGCAACAGCATTTCTTGCATTTCACCAGCTTTTACCAGTCTACATAAAGGGGAAAACTGTTGGTTTTAGCACCATTTTGAGAAATATTTTGTTTTTTTTTTCTACTTTTAAATTTTATCCCATTTGGGGATCTTCAAAATCCCAGACAGGCCAATTTCTTGCAAAGATTAACACGAAGACTAGAGGTTCCTTTAACATTTTCGCTCTTACGGACACAGTCTACAGCTCCGATAACGTCCCACCACCTCGTTTGGGGCCATGCTCATACTCCAGATTTTCTCGCAATTTAGAAAAACGACCAGTTAGGTCCGCAGACCACGGACTGCACTTCGACGACCAGTTAGGTCTGCAGACCACGGACTGCACTTCACAAACCAACGTTCCAGACGTCATCCGGAGGAAGACGCAGAGCACGGCGCACACTTTAGGGNGCAGACCACGGACTGCACTTCGACGACCAGTTAGGTCTGCAGACCACGGACTGCACTTCACAAACCAACGTTCCAGACGTCATCCGGAGGAAGACGCAGAGCACGGCGCACACTTTAGAGCTTAAATGCAGGAATTCGAGTATCACACGGTACAAGTTCACCATTTACCCCAATAATTCTCGAAATTGCCGCGATTTTATGCAGTAGAAATTCGGTAAATTCCTCCATCTTACCTCTACATAAACAAAACCATTAATTACAAGGATGAGAGAGATGACGCGATTGGCTCATCGATCGCCACGAAAAAAATACAATTTCGCAATTACCCACAAAACATATTAAACGAGCGAATATCGAACTTACTTTTACGTTTCTCAGATCGACTCTCAGCGATAAATTCTTCTCCGTTTGAGCCCAATACACGAAGGGGCTCAAAGTACCTACGGAACCCATTTCGAATTCTCTGGCAATTTAATCGCTACGCAACGCCCTCTGCCAATATTATCCTCCAATATTTCCGGGAGACGAGATTAAATCACCTTATTTATTACGAAATCGACGTCACTCCGCCTTATCTCGTGACGAATTAAATCGTCGCATGTATCGAAGTAGCGACACTAGCGGTAAAATCGACTAGGGGAAAAAAATCGAGACGTTCTGCCACTGGTAATGTTAGCATTTATTTTGAAGTTACTGTAAGCTAAATGTTACATTAACATAATTATTATCCAAGAAATACAAGATGCACGACAATCGACAGAGTGGAGTGCTTATCATACTTTAACGCCNGATTACAGAGATGAGAGACGTCGTTTTAATTTTTTCATTACACGTACGTTTAAAAAAAGAAATCTGGCGCAGTTGAGTAACTTTCCCGGCTGTTATGAGTTTTATTTATTAAAAAAAAACCACTTATATTAAGCAAAATAAATTTGTGAGTGGCGCCATCTGTTACGAAGTTTTCTGGTAAAAACTTTCTATGTTTTTAATTATTAACATCAATACCCCTCATATACAAACAATTGTGTCATATTCTGTTTCTTAATCTTAACCCCATCCTGAGATATTACGTGAAATGGATGCATGTGCGCACACACACATCCATGGAATTTTTTGCCATTTTGATTTTTTGGATTCGGAAGGTCTCAAAATGTGAAGATTTGCAAAAATTTCAGAGGATCAAATTGGACATGATTCGAATAATTTCCCTTACGGCCCAATGACCAGGTGCAAACTGACAACCGAGAACCAGTGTTTGCTGGTTTTATCCACTCGGCCACCGGTGGACCGTCGATGACCCAAAATTGAAGAGTTTTTGTATCCTTTATATATCCTAGCCCATATATACAAATATAGAATAAAAGAATTGTCTCGACCATCATGATGCAATGTTTATCCGATGCACAAAAGTTACTATGGTAGAACCCTGCTTATCCAAGCCCCAATTAATCAAGGTTCCATGTNCGAGAACCAGTGTTTGCTGGTTTTATCCACTCGGACACCGGTGGACCGTCGATGACCCAAAATTGAAGAGTTTTTGTATCCTTTATATATCCTAGCATAGGATATACAAAAGATGAAGACTGGTTTAAAATATGCATTCGATGACAGATCTTTCAGATTCCTCAGAGTGATAGGCTGCCACCTTATCACTAGGTTCTATTTGTCTGCTGCCCTGGGGACCAGATGGGGAATCTGTAGGAATTTTTACAGGTGGTGTGTCTGATATCTTGTGCACCACCTCTTGCCATTCTCTTATCCATTGTATGGTCGGGCACGTAACGAGTACAATTAAAAAGGCCTTTCGATGCCCTTGCAACAGACAGAGTAAAATTATAACATATCGTAAGAATGAAACAAGGAGAAAAAATGCATACGATCCCATAATTATCACCTTAGATATTGATAGATTGTGGGTACAAATGCAGCTCTGAACGAGGCAGTTGGGACTTTATCAGAACTGTACGTCATCATGCCCGTAAGAGTAAAAGTTGTCAAAGGACCGAACGGTCTACACATGACTCCGCAAGATATGGCCTCCCAAAATTGGACCAGAGGCTCGATAAGCACTCGAGACGTCTAACAGACCGTGCGGCACAACTCCGGCACTCGGTGCAACAGCATTTCTTGCATTTCACCAGCTTTTACCAGTCTACATAAAGGGGAAAACTGTTGGTTTTAGCACCATTTTGAGAAATATTTTGTTTTTTTTTTCTACTTTTAAATTTTATCCCATTTGGGGATCTTCAAAATCCCAGACAGGCCAATTTCTTGCAAAGATTAACACGAAGACTAGAGGTTCCTTTAACATTTTCGCTCTTACGGACACAGTCTACAGCTCCGATAACGTCCCACCACCTCGTTTGGGGCCATGCTCATACTCCAGATTTTCTCGCAATTTAGAAAAACGACCAGTTAGGTCCGCAGACCACGGACTGCACTTCGACGACCAGTTAGGTCTGCAGACCACGGACTGCACTTCACCGACCAACGTNATTATAATTCTTATCAATTCTTTATAAATTCAGGATTATAATTTTGATAAAAGCATTAGGGATCAAATGTACCTGCTTAGACTTCGAGATTAAATTTGTTCTTAATCAAATTTTCACCTTGATTCCTCCATTCAAGTTTCTACGGATTTTGCAGATACAATATTAGCAGAACAAACAGTAAAAAGTAATTCCAAGTAATAAAATTTACGATTTTACTTTAGAGTAAGTCTTTAATGTCCAAACCAATCTCCAAAAAGCTTCTTTCTTCTTCTTTGTGGTCTTTTCTAGCTTCCTTCTCTCTACATTTCGGCACTGTTTTCTCTCTCTTGCAGTTCGTACAATCCGTTAACCATATAAAATATACAAAAACTTTTAATCTTGTAAAAACTAATTAAATGTTTTTATTTGGCATTTGATAATAGTATAAGTTCTCCAGTATTACACAGAGATGGCATCGCATGAAATCTTTTCTGTTGCATATTTATCATTCTTCTTGTTATGTCCTATATTTTTATACTTTTCAGTCAATATTCTGAACGAGTGAAGAGTTTATTGTTTATATCCTTGTTGCGAAAGCTCGTCCAATTATAAATGTCAAATTAATCACTTTATCAAAGCAAAAAAAAGTGTTTAAAAATCAGACTAAACACTTTTAAATCAGTTGTCTACTTTCAGTAAATAATAAACAAATCAAGAAATTCTGTTTATTTTTCATTCTGTAGATAAACTCTTAAAGATGGGGTAGTGTAACCCAAAATTTTTGAATATACAAATACCCGAGCAGTCAAAATATTCCCAGAATTGTAGTATAGCATTGTAATGGTAGGACATATGAAACACTTACCTAATAGCCTTCAAAGTAGAACCCTTTGGTATACGCGAGCTCGTGCCATCGATCCTGCCATTGTTGGAAACCCCATTGAAAGGCTTCTTTAGGAATATTCAGAAGTTCAGTCATCTCGTTCCATTTGTTGTCTTCTGTGATTGCGAAACGTGCCCTTTGAGATCCATTTTCGGGGTAGGGAGCAGCCAAAAGTCACTCGAAGTGAGATCTGGTGAGTATGGCTTCTGGGCAATGACAGGAAGTCTTGTCAACAATGAGTTGCTACAGTGACTCAGTTTGTTATCACAATGTAGAAACCACCTTCCCTGCCACTTGTCATACCATTTCCTACATCTTGTAACCTATGCAAAATTTGCATGCAGAAATGGTCAGTATCACTCTGTCCACTTGGTATGAACTTGTGGTTTGTACCATCTGGACAGTGGTTTTCGAATGATCCAAAACAAGTTTTCCAAAGGTGCTTCCGACAATGGCAGGATCGATGGGGCAAGTGTGTTTATGCTGAAGGATTTGCTTAATCATCTATTTTAAAGCTGATTAAGTAAGAATTTCCATATGTCTTACCATTACGATGCTCTACCATAATTTTGGGAACTTTTTGACTGCCCGTGTACTGTATATCTAATTTTATGCATATTTGCTTCTGAAAATCATTGTGATCAAATTGNGGATTTGAAACGCTCATCTGTGGATAAATTTAAATTTGTGTGTCATTGCTTTCAACAGCTGAGATTAACTTTGAGAATTCCAAGTTGAGAGTCTATGATTAAGTAAGAATATCCATATGTCTTACCATTACGATGCTCTACCATAATTTTGGGAACTTTTTGACTGCCCGTGTACTGTATATCTAATTTTATGCATATTTGCTTCTGAAAATCATTGTGATCAAATTGCTTATTTCATATATTGAGGAATCATTTGAAGTTTTGTTATTTTGCAAACATGTATTTATTTTATTTCACTCGTTCGGGCAATTGTCGACATTTTTCTTTAGAATTTTCCATTCAGACACCGTCAATATTAAATTCATCATACTTATTTCTCGCTGGATTTGATTTCATCCAAAACAATTCTTTATCAAATGCTACTTTTCTGTTCCTGGGTATTTTCTCTTACCATAATGCATAACACAAATATTAATTGCATAAAATAGTCATATTGCTGCATAAGCTACCATTCGTTCATTCATAATAGGTGCTGAATAAAATCAAAAATGTTAAAATGTTTCTCGTTCAATAAATAATTAATAAAATAATTTGCTTATCTTCTATAATTGTTAAATATTTATAATATGCAATTTTTGAAAATGAGTTGAAATATGTACAATATTTTAATTAATTATTATGGAAGAAATTGATTTTTATCTACAGTAATTCATATTTTGATAAAGTTTTTTTTTAAATTTTTAATGTTTAAAAATATTCGGTTTAACTCCTATCAAAATTTGGTTACGTGGCGATATTTTCGGATCAAATAATGGCATCAAACAACAGGAACAACCTGTAAAAAATTAAATAGTTCATGTCTTTTTGTGTATCATTTTATGAATTTGAATCAAAATATATTTATAATTCACTATAAATTAATAATAATATTGAATTTATTCATATTCAAATGTTAACAATCTAAAAAAATACATTAACCTTTCATTTTATGACATTTTCTTTAATAATTTTTGCTTTAACAATAGAAATTGATATGAATTTTTTCATTATTTTAGATAAATTCCTCTAATTCAGAAGATTAAACATCTTACATAGAGGTTGGTCCATCGTAACCTTCAGAAATTGCTTGGATCAGATGATTGGGACTTTAATGACTTATATGGGGTGTTTGGAAAAGTAGGAAAAACTTTTCATTTAAATAAAAAGAGTAAAAAAGAAATATTTTATCAGAAGGGATAAAGATACAAATATGTCGGCAATCAAATTTATTGTAAATACATTTTAAAAAATTGCCAAGATGAATTTACTTTTACAAAAAAAACTATATTTCTTGAGACTATACATACAGGATGAGTCAATTTCATTTGGTCCCTTCACAAGCTATTGAGGTAATAACAATTTCACAGTGGAGTCGACCTTGGCAGACAAGTAGCCTACAATAAAAGGTTGACTCCGTCGTGGAATTGTTATTATACCTCAACAGTGTGTGAAGGAACCGAATGAAATTGACTCATCCTGTATGTATAGTCTCAAGAAATATATTTTTTAGCAAATTTTTTGTGTTGATACAATAGAATAATGTAGAGAAGAGAAAAAGGAATGTAGGCAAGATACTTCCTCTGGATGAAGTGGAAGATTTCTTAAGTAATCATCAAAAACCTTCAGTCACAATTAGAAAATAAAATTAAAGATGACAGAATCTATGATTCAGCAAATAGTGTTTGCAGAAGATCCCTGATGGAAGAAGATTGGAGAAGAAAAACTCTTTGATGGAGAAGTTCAAGAAAGAGTATGGTGCTTGTGTCCATGTTTTTTAAGCAATCTTCACCCGTGGCCAATCCATTTTCTATGTTGCCTCCATCCTCCTCCATTCCAAGCTCCTAGAACTCCAATCTCACCAAATTCACCCATTTTATAAGTATTTATCAACTTCATATCAACTCACACATACACACTCTCTATCTTTCTCGGGGGAAATATGCATTTATATTTGTTATGCACCAGATAGAATACATAATGCAAGAAAATATATATAGTTTTCTAATTAAACAAAACTTCTGTCTTAGAAAGGAAATTTGAAGGCAAATCTCCTTCCTCTAACAGTCATACACTTGCCTACAGGAAAAAGATATTAAAAACACTACAAACATGAGTTAAGTTGTCAGATCTCAAAACTGACTGGTATCAATCACCCTGATTACTTATCCAATTACTTTATATTGAGAAACTCACACTAAAATGCATTTTTAGCAACAAAAAATTTACAAAATAATATACATTTAAATGTTTTTAATCAAGTATTTTTATGGGAAGAAAGCATCCAAATGTACCTTATTTTTGTGAAATTTTTGCTCCAAGTAGATGTTTGACCCTCTGCATTTATTGGAGAATTTCAGTATTTCATTCCATATAAGCAAGTACAATCTTTTATTGAATATGACATAGAAAAATATACACGCAATATACCAAGTTCTTCGGTGACATAAAATTCAGCACCGAATGCCTGTTTAGAACATCTAATCAACACGTTTATTCTCTGTTTACATCAGCGTAAATTAATCTCATTCACAGAGCGAGCAATAAATAAGCTTGCATTAATTTTGGGATTAAATTTTTGTATTATAACTTGTGTGATTGAACAAGAGTTGACGATCCAACTTTCACTCTGAATCAGTATATTTTCAGTTTTTTATTTTAACCTATATCAAATTTTCTGAATCTATCTTGTCATTAAACTTATCATCAGTCAACTTTCTATAGATTCACAAATTATTATTAAATTCATATGCTATAAAATCTTACCTTTTTCATATAAAAACAGCAACCTGTCTAGTAACACAAGGGTTTCTATTACTGGCGCAATCATTAATCTGAGAGAATAAAATATCACGACTAGTTTCCAATGTTCAAGGCATTCATTAATGTAAGGAGACGATACGTCTTCTGGAGTGATATTTAAATCAATTCTTTTCAATGCATTCTGAACATAACTGTAATAAACAAAAACCGATAAATAGATTTAAATTTATGACAGTAATTTATAAAATTAAACTTTAACTTACACAGAAAATGGCATTTTATCTGCATGCTTTATACTATGAAGACCGAAATGTTTCATCTCCGGTAAATACTTTACAATCAAAGTTTCCAGAGTAGCTCGGTAACAGTGAATCTTCAAACAATCTGCATTTCCTTCAATATAAAAATAATATAAATCTTTCTGTATTTTTTAACTGTTAGTAGAAACTAGAAAATATGTTTCTTTGATAAAAAATATAATATTCTTTGCATAATGTATGGGCATTTCAACCTAACACAAGTAAAATACAGTTAATTCTANGGCTTAAAAAAAAAAGTCGTTTATAATGTCAATATTCTTTATAAATTTGAGATTATAATTCTTATCAATTCTTTATAAATTCAGGATTATAATTTTGATAAAAGCATTAGGGATCAAATGTACCTGCTTAGACTTCGAGATTAAATTTGTTCTTAATCAAATTTTCACCTTGATTCCTCCATTCAAGTTTCTACGGATTTTGCAGATACAATATTAGCAGAACGAACAGTAAAAAGTAATTCCAAGTAATAAAATTTACGATTTTACTTTAGAGTAAGTCTTTAATGTCCAAACCAATCTCCAAAAAGCTTCTTTCTTCTTCTTTGTGGTCTTTTCTAGCTTCCTTCTCTCTACATTTCGGCACTGTTTTCTCTCTCTTGCAGTTCGTACAATCCGTTAACCATATAAAATATACAAAAACTTTTAATCTTGTAAAAACTAATTAAATGTTTTTATTTGGCATTTGATAATAGTATAAGTTCTCCAGTATTACACAGAGATGGCATCGCATGAAATCTTTTCTGTTGCATATTTATCATTCTTCTTGTTATGTCCTATATTTTTATACTTTTCAGTCAATATTCTGAACGAGTGAAAAGTTTATTGTTTATATCCTTGTTGCGAAAGCTCGTCCAATTATAAATGTCAAATTAATCACTTTATCAAAGCAAAAAAAAGTGTTTAAAAATCAGACTAAACACTTTTAAATCAGTTGTCTACTTTCAGTAAATAATAAACAAATCAAGAAATTCTGTTTATTTTTCATTCTGTAGATAAACTCTTAAAAATGGGTTAGTGTAACCCAAAATTTTTGAATATACAAATACCCGAGCAGACAAAATATTCCCAGAATTGTGGTATAGCACTGTAATGGTAGGACATATGAAACACTTAACTAATAGCCTTCAAAGCAGGACCCTTTGGCACATGCAAGCTTGTGCCGTCGATCCTGCCATTGTTGGAAACCCCATTGAAAGGCTTCTTTAGGAATATTCAGAAATTCAGTCATCTCGTTCCATTTGTTGTCTTCTGTGATTATGAAACGTGCCCTTTGAGATCCACTTTCGGGGTAGGGAGCAGCCAAAAGTCACTCGAAGTGAGATCCGGTGAGTATGGCTTCCTGGCAATGACAGGAAGTCTTGTCAACAATGAGTTGCTACAGTGACTCAGTTCGTTATCACAATGTAGAAACCACCTTTCCGGCCACTTGTCATACCATTTCCTACAACTTGTAACCTATGCAAAATTTGCATGCAGAAATGGTCAGTATCACACTGTCCACTTGGTATGAACTTGTAGCTTGTACCATCTGGACAGTGGTTCCCGAATGATCCAAAACGAGTTTCCAAAAGTGCTTCCGACAATGGCAGGATCAATGGGGCAAGTGTGTTTGTGCTGAAGGGTTTGCTTAATCATCTATTTTAAAGCTGATTAAGTAAGAATATCCATATGTCTTACCATTACGATGCTCTACCATAATTTTGGGAACTTTTTGATTGCCTGTGTACTGTATATCTAATTTTATGCATATTTGCTTCTGAAAATCATTGTGATCAAATTGCTTATTTCATACATTGAGGAATCATTTGAAGTTTGGTTATTTTGCAAACATGTATTTATTTTATTTCACTCATTCGGGCAATTGTCGACATTTTTCTTTAGAATTTTCCATTCAGACACCGTCAATATTAAATTCATCATACTTATTTCTCGCTGGATTTGTTTTCGTCCAAAACAATTCTTTATCAAATAATACTTCTCTGTTCCTGGGTATTTTCTCTTACCATAATGCATAACACAAATATTAATTGCATAAAATAGTCATATTGCTGCATAAGCTACCATTCGTTCATTCATAATAGGTGCTGAATAAAATCAAAAATGTTAAAATGTTTCTCGTTCAATAAATAATTAATAAAATAATTTGCTTATCTTCTATAATTGTTAAATATTTATAATATGCAATTTTTGAAAATGAGTTGAAATATGTACAATATTTTAATTAATTATTATGGAAGAAATTGATTTTTATCTACAGTAATTCATATTTTGATAAAGTTTTTTTTTAAATTTTTAATGTTTAAAAATATTCGGTTTAACTCCTATCAAAATTTGGTTACGTGGCGATATTTTCGGATCAAATAATGGCATCAAACAACAGGAACAACCTGTAAAAAATTAAATAGTTCATGTCTTTTTGTGTATCATTTTATGAATTTGAATCAAAATATATTTATAATTCACTATAAATTAATAATAATATTGAATTTATTCATATTCAAATGTTAACAATCTAAAAAAATACATTAACCTTTCATTTTATGACATTTTCTTTAATAATTTTTGTTTTAACAATAGAAATTGATATAAATATTTTCATTATTTCAAATATTCCTCTAATTCAGAAGATTAAACATCTTACATACAGGTTGGTCCATCGTAACCTTCAGAAATTGCATGGATTAGATGATTAGGACTTTAATGACTTATATGGGGTGTTTGGAAAAGTAGGAAAAAAACTTTTCATTTAAATAATAAGTGTAAAAAAGAAATATTTTATCAGAAGGGATAAAGATACAAATATGTCGGCAATCAAATTTATTGTAAATACATTTTAAAAAATTGCCGAGATGAATTTACTTTTACAAAAAACTATATTTCTTGAGACTATACATACAGGATGAGTCAATTTCATTTGGTCCCTTCACACGCTATTGAGGTAATAACAATTTCACAGCAGAGTCGACCTTGGCAGACAAGTAGCCTACAATAAAAGGTTGACTCTGTCATAAAATTGTTATTATACCTCAACAGTGTGTGAAGGAACCGAATGAAATTGACTCATCCTGTATGTATAGTCTCAAGAAATATATTTTTTAGCAAATTTATTGTGTTGAAACAATAGAATAATGTAGAGAAGAGAAAAAGGAATGTAGGCAAGATACTTCCTCTGGATGAAGTGGAAGATTTCTTAAGTAATCATCAAAAACCTTCAGTCAGATTAGAAAATAAAATTAAAGATGACAGAATCTATGATTCAGCAAATAGTGTTTGCAGAAGGTCCCTGATGGAAGAAGATTGGAGAAGAAAAACTCTTTGATGGAGAAGTTCAAGAAAGAGTATGGTGCTTGTGTCCATGTTTTTTAAGCAATCTTCACCCGTGGCCAATCCATTTTCTATGTTGCCTCCATCCTCCTCCATTCCAAGCTCCTAGAACTCCAATCTCACCAAGTTCACCCATTTTATAAGTATTTATCAACTTCATATCAACTCACACATACACACTCTCTATCTTTCTCGGGGGAAATATGCATTTATATTTGTTATGCACCAGATAGAATACATAATGCAAGAAAATATATATAGTTTTCTAATTAAACAAAACTTCTGTCTTAGAAATGAAATTTGAAGGCAAATCTCCTTCCTCTAACAGTCATACACTTGCCTACAGGAAAAAGATATTAAAAACACTGCAAACATGAGTTAAGTTGTCAGATCTCAAAACTGACTGGTATCAATCACCCTGATTACTTATCCAATTACTTTATATTGAGAGACCCACACTAAAATGCATTTTTAGCAACAAAAAATTTACAAAATAATATACATTTAAATGTTTTTAATCAAGTATTTTTATGGGAAGAAAGCATCCAAATGTACCTTATTTTTGTGAAATTTTTGCTCCAAGTAGATGTTTGACCCTCTGCATTTATTGGAGAATTTCAGTATTTCATTCCATATAAGCAAGTACAATCTTTTATTGAATATGACATAGAAAAATATACACGCAATATACCAAGTTCTTCGGTGACATAAAATTCAGCACCGAATGCCTGTTTAGAACATCTAATCAACACGTTTATTCTCTGTTTACATCAGCGTAAATTAATCTCATTCACAGAGCGAGCAATAAATAAGCTTGCATTAATTTTGGGATTAAATTTTTGTATTATAACTTGTGTGATTGAACAAGAGTTGACGATCCAACTTTCACTCTGAATCAGTATATTTTCAGTTTTTTATTTTAACCTATATCAAATTTTCTGAATCTATCTTGTCATTAAACTTATCATCAGTCAACTTTCTATAGATTCACAAATTATTATTAAATTCATATGCTATAAAATCTTACCTTTTTCATATAAAAACAGCAACCTGTCTAGTAACACAAGGGTTTCTATTACTGGCGCAATCATTAATCTGAGAGAATAAAATATCACGACTAGTTTCCAATGTTCAAGGCATTCATTAATGTAAGGAGACGATACGTCTTCTGGAGTGATATTTAAATCAATTCTTTTCAATGCATTCTGAACATAACTGTAATAAACAAAAACCGATAAATAGATTTAAATTTATGACAGTAATTTATAAAATTAAACTTTAACTTACACAGAAAATGGCATTTTATCTGCATGCTTTATACTATGAAGACCGAAATGTTTCATCTCCGGTAAATACTTTACAATCAAAGTTTCCAGAGTAGCTCGGTAACAGTGAATCTTCAAACAATCTGCATTTCCTTCAATATAAAAATAATATAAATCTTTCTGTATTTTTTAACTGTTAGTAGAAACTAGAAAATATGTTTCTTTGATAAAAAATATAATATTCTTTGCATAATGTATGGGCATTTCAACCTAACACAAGTAAAATACAGTTAATTCTATAATATTTGTAAAATTCAACTACAGATGACAAAACAAAATAAAATGGCTTAATGAATAAATAGAATCTTAAAGAATTAAAAAAGAGAGGATAAGTAACATTATAAGATAGTTGTTGAGTTCATAAGTGTGTTTCCTGTTAGCTGTGACATGGCTACAAGTAGGGCTAAGCCAAGATAATAAAAATTATTAGGAGGGAGTTGTCAGCTCTTTTGGGGGTAGTTGTTCTTACTAGTTGAATTAGTACTCTATTTCTAGGCTTAGTAGCATAGATAATAAATGTTTAAATCGAGAAGTAAGTCTTATTAGGCTTATTAGAAAAACGATAACACCTGCGGATAGGGAATAATTTATCATAGTTTTAATAGTTTAATAAAAATTTTAATTTTGTAAACTAAAGATGTTTTCCTGAGACAACAGAAAAAATTTTGGATATTATTTTTAATATCCAAAATTAATATTTTTGTTAAACTATTTTCTGTTATATTTGGTGTTCTTATTTTATTGTCTGTCTTTTTTCTTTTCAAATGATGGAAAGAGATATAATTATTATTTTTCATGAGGGCAGTCAGTGGTATGTAAACTATAAAACTTGTTAGTAGTATAACTGACAAAACTTTGTTAGTTATAAAGCCGAATGATTGCTGGATTAAACCGGTCTATTTTTAATTTTGTCAGTTGTGAGAAAAAGATTCAATAATAATAAAATATTAAACCAAAAATAAGTGAATTGAGCCTCATACTATTTTATTATTAGATAAATAGAAGTAAAAAATATAATATAACTTTTTAAAATATTTTAAAATAACCCCCCAATCATATTACCGTGTTCCCCTGAAAATAAGACTGGGTCTTATATTAATATTTGCTCCAAAAGATGCATTAGGTATTATTTTCAGGGGATGTCTCATTCAAAGATACACACTTGAATATTTACAATATTTAATTATAATTTATATTATCATTTATTTTAAGTATTAATATCAATAATAATATTTATTTACATTTAATTAAATATTATTATTATTTTATAATTCAATACATCCGTCGTGGGTTAAATACTTTTTAAATATGATCATCTGGATGTCAATCTTCACTGGGGCTTATTTTAGGAGTAGAGCTTATATTATGAGTTTCCTGAAAACTCATATACAATTCACTTTTAAGTGCATATTATCAAACGTCTTTTAAAATTTTCAAAATTTAAAATATAATAAATATAATTAATTTATTATATTTATATTTTCAAAATATTCATGTACAATACATATGGGATTTGTACAGTCTGTAAAAAAATTATAAACTTAAGTGAAATTTCTCTGTGTTTTAATTTGTTTTCATCCACAGTTCGTTGTTGCTATATCTAATGATTTTAATTAGTGTTACGAATTTATAATGAAATAAACAAGTCTTTGTATTGTATCATTTTAATAAACAATCAAAAATTTTAATTGTTACAATTTTTTGTTGTAAACAATTTATAAACTCAAGGGTGAAAACTGATTATTACAGTTGAATGGAACAATCCATTCAACTGTAATAGTAATGTAAATTAGTATGTGTAACATTTTGGGTGAGTCTGAGAATTCAAACTAAAAAAGTGACAAAAATGCCAAGGGGAATAACCCTAACTGAAAGTGAAATATGAAAAATCTATTTCTTTAAGGGAAAANAAACCTTTGCAATTCAAGTGCCTGGCATCATTGTCCAGGTAACCAGAACCCAGTGGATCTTTTATCTTTAGGCATAAATGACAATCATCTGTTAGACAATCCCTTTTGGTTCAATGGTCCAGAATTCTTGAAAAATCAACTTGAACTGAAATCCCCAGATATGACAGTTGAGATATTAGAGAATGAGGATGATTACTTGTGAGAATTAAGGAAATCTGATAATACTGTTTTCTGTGCCATCAGTGTTCAGCAATCTTTTCTAGACAATCTATTAAATCAGAGTAATAATTATTGTAAACTGTTTGTAAGATTCTTAACATTTTCAGTTTTATGGGTCAATTTATTTACAATTGTCGTGAAAGAAACAAAAGAATTGGTTGCTAAGTGTAGATGAAATCAATGAAAGCGAGACCAAACTCATTTCATTTGTAGCCTTAGCAATGACTATGACAATTTGAGTAAATCTCAACAGGTTGATAAAAGGAGTAATCTTAAGGATTTAACTCCCTTCTTAGATAAATCAAATGTAATATGTGTGGGTGTAAGGTTGAAAAGGAGTTCTCTTAATTTCAGTTCTAAACAACATATATTATTACCAAAGAGTCATAGACTGACTCATTTGATTATGTTAAACGAAACGAACATCTTAAATATTTCTATGGTGATGCAGAATCTCTTTTAAATTGTAATTGTCAAAAATATTGGCTCTTGGATGGAAGCTAAAAAATAGTTCATAACTGCATAACTTGTACTAAGTACAGCCTGGTCCTTTGTCAACAACAAATGAGTAACTTACTAGTGAAAGATTAAGGCCTTCGTTTCCTTTCTCAGTAACTGGTGTAGATTTTTGTGGTCCTTTTACCATTAAAAACAAAAATCAACAAAGGAGGTCATATCATAAGATGTAAATTTGTATTTTCATATATTTTTTAACCAAGGTTGTTCATTTTGAAATAGTTTCTGAATTGATGAGTGAAGGCATTATTGCATCTTTGAAGAGATTTTTAGCCAAATGTGGTAAATATAATTTTTTCAGACAATGCTAAGAACTTTATTGGAGCCAACAATGAGATGAAATGTATGTATAATCTTGTAAAATATCCTGATGAAATGTTGGCTAATTATTTAAGATCAGAGAGAATTCAGTGGAAATTCATTCCACCAAGGGCTCCTCATTTTGGGGTTTTTGGGAGGCCGGCATCAAGCGTTTCAAATTCCATTTTAAAAGTGCTGTTGGAGTCACCATACTAACATTCAAGGAATTTTTGACAGTTATAAATCAAACTGAAGGAATCTTGAATTCTTGTCTGATTTCTCCTGTCCGAGGATCAAAATGACTTAGAAGCCTTGACCCCAACCCATTTCTTGGTGGGACGCCAGCTATCATCAATTTTTGAGCCAAATGTTATGAGTTTGAAGGACAATACTTTGAGCAGATGGCAATATACCAGTAAGTTGACAGCACTTGTGGAAGAGATAGCAAAGATACTACCTCAACCATCTTCATCATAACAAATGGTATCTTAGATAGAATTGAAGTTGTAATATATTTTACAATAAGATTAGTATGTGTATTATTAAAACTAAGGCTGGTCACACAAAACAACCAATAACAAAGTTAGCAGTCTTACCAATACCAACAGAATAACTGTAATTGAAATTTCTTAGTTTAAAATTTCGTAATTGTAGTTATTTGAGTGTAATAATTGTATTTATTTATATAATCTTGTTGTATTCTAAACTCACCCGTGTTTTGAGTGTATTGTGTTGAATGTTTCACATTCAATGCGGGAATATGGTCTGGTCTGATCAGAGAATATGTTGGGCCCTCTAGCAGAAAAAAAGAGAATAAAATGTCTCTGAGCCATGAGTGTTCTTTTCCTTAACTTTCTAATTATAAGAGACAAAACTTTTTATAGTCCACTAACGAGAAGAGTGTTGACATCAATGACATTAAAAAAATTTTATACTAGCTTTCAAAATCATCTACCAAACTTTAGTAGTAATAAATTTTTGGGATTTTAAACATTTACTTATAAAAACTTAAAAAAATTCAAAATTTTTTTATTCAAAAATATAAAGATCAAATTTATCTAACAAGTAATTTCAAAAGTTTATTCTATGTATGTTTTAATTATTATATTACCTATTTAGATAATGTTACTTTTATGTTTCAATTTACATAATTATATTTCAGTTTTGCATTGAAATAAATCTGTATGTAAAAATCAATGTTTTTAACTTTTATGCCTTTGTGTACTTAACTTATGTATTTATGCTTAAATTGTCAACTAGGACTTATTATACTGGATAACTGGTTCTACAAGTTAAATAATCAAATCAGAAAAAAAACAGTCTTTTATTTATCACCTGAACACACACACGATATCTTTGTGTTTCAGACCTTTGGTCCCTCATCAGCAGGTTTCCGACCGACATTCTCTAAAAAATCAATTATAAAATTGTTACAAATTTATATAAAACATAAAATATAAAATTCCCAACAATAAAATAAACAGTGTAAAACTTACAATATCATGGTTTATAAATACATCCTTGAATCTAACAATATTTAAGACAATAAATAATACATATCCAATCCTATTCCTGCATTTAAAACAATAAAATCAATTAAATTGATAAAATTGGATTAAACCCTTTTTTAAAAAACTTACATCATTTATCATTCACTTTCAATTAAACATTGCCTAATCTCGAGTTGATCTTTCCTTTTATCCTTTCGCCTCTTCCACCCTCTGTTGATGATTCCATTCCATGATTGGAACAGAAGTATAATAAGTCCTAGTAATAAATTAAGTCCTAGTTGACAATTTAAGCATAAATACATCAAATGTTTTTTTTTTTTCAAATTTAAAAATGTAACATTTTTGTAACAAGCATATGATGATGATGACAAATCATTGAAACTACCAAGAATAAATATAGTTTAATCTTCAACTTTATGTTTATTTTCCTGTTTATTTATACACAATGAAATCGTTTTTACTGAACAGTACTAAATCTGCTGTGTCATTATTGTTTGTGCTTTTATGCTTTCCTTGTTTCAATTAGTATTTAAATAAAACACTGGTATTGTTGGAAATTGCTAGCTCAAATTCATTCAGCAATATTATAACAGGTTTCTTAATTGTAATTAGTTTGAATCTATCAGCAATTAAGTCAATTAATATAAAATTTAGATAGGCTTAATAATAATTTAAATCAGTATTTTATAAAGTAATGTGTAAAAATTGAAAATTTATTGACATTTAATGTTTCATAAGTTCAAAATCTACATTATATTTATGTTGTAAAGTGAAAAATTAATCATCATGGAAAATGGAAATCAAAATTATTAATTTCCAAGATAAAAAGTTAAAACTTTCATTAATCTGATATGTTTAGAAATAAATATGTTTACATTTTGTTAAATTTGTCTAATCTGATCTTATCTAACAAGTAGTTTAACAAATATTTTAAAAAATTTAGAAAAACTATAATATATTACCTGTTTAAATCTAGCTTCATATAACAGCAACCAACAGACAAAATTACATTAGCTTCGAAGTTATTCAAAAATAATTTAATCATATTAACTGCAAGATTTCCACAAGTATGCAGCCCAACAATACTGAAAAATATCTGAAAATAAAATACAATTAAATTCATTAAGATTAGATACTAAAATATTTTGTATCTACATTTGAATATTTTTTTATATAAAAGAACAAAATTATTCTATAAAGATATTAAAAGGAAATTAATTTAATGTAATATATTATAAACTATAGAATGACTATCATATGTAATGTACAGATAACTAGTTACATTAAAACAATGTAGCAAATTAAGAATAAATGATTATTACTCTTTATTTAAAATAAGAAATTCAGTCTCATATAAGTCTTATTAAAAATATAATTGATCACAAATACATAAACTAATCAATGATTTAGAAATAAAGCCATCTATAAAATTTATAAATAAAAGTTTTATATATTATAATTCTTTGCATTTTATTTGCATTTTAAAGTAAGTCCTTAAAGGTTTTAAAATCACTATCCAAAACTTATCAATAATTTTGTTGAATTTTTATTCTTTAAGAAGTCATGTGAATTTTATTGTGGTTTTATTTAGAAATTTCAGATGTGGTTTAAAATGTATCTGGAAAAATCTATTTTTAAATAAAACAACACTTGTATGATTAAAGATTCAATTTATTTATACAGTAGACTCCCTATAACGCAGTAGATACGTTCCACTTTATAAGAATTTCACGTTGTAGGAATCCTTAAATATATGAGCCAATCACAGCCCGACACGTGTGCAGTTTACGGACTACGGCTGTTTGAAAGGTTTTCCTCCATAAAATTAATCGATTCTAGACTAATCTGACTCAACATTTCCAAAACATGTATAATTTTTTGGGAATAATCCGTATAAACTATGCTATAAACAAAAAATTATAGGATTAATTACCGAGTGTGCACCATTCAACGACGCCATTGCTTAAGCTTGTTTTCATCGCGGAGCAGTGCACCAAATGGCAGGCGCATTTTCTGATAAGTTATTTTTCTGTGAAAAATTCATTGAACTTTGGAGACATCATTAATAAAAATAATTTTTATGACCGTTGAATAAGAAATGCTTTTTTCACAAGAAATGTATAAAATTACAGTACTGTATTAGACTTACGGTACCTAATTTATATACTGTACAGACGATAGTAAACTCAACTTTCCGTAGCGTGTAAGTAGTTCAGCTGCTCGTCCACTATTGGTCCAGATTCGACCAATCCTGTCGCGACATGAATCGGTGATGACGTTTTACTGCATTTTACGAGTCTCTTTTAGCATCTTTATACGAATATGGTCGCAATTTTTTCCCCGCGACATACGAATCCATGTTATAGGGGGTCGACTATATATACCAAAAAGATAATTTTTTTATATCTATGGCATTAACTTAACAGTATTGCCTGTAAGAATTTTTATATGAAATAACTAACTTGATGTATTTATTATATACAGATTAAAGTTTATTTCATTTCTACAAAAAATCTTTTCTCTTACTTGATATTTACATCAGAAGAAAATCTCAATCTCCAAATTACAAAATGAAATAAATTAAAATTTACATATTAGTAATAATCTGTAAATTTGGAAAATGGGTAAGTGTTGCTTATTATTATTATTATTATTATTTTAATTAAATTTTGATATATCTGAAAAACATTACAGATGTAAATCCTGCTCTAAAGAACAAGATTCAAATCTCAATCTTTGTGCAATATATGATCGCTTCATCATTTATGCATTCATATATTATTAATAACTTTGTGGTCAGTTATTATGGCTGATATGCTGTTTTATTTCTCTTCACAATTTCCATTCAATATTTTAATTAAATATCTAATAGGAAAGTGACAAAATGGAAAAGTTTGTTTGTCCTAATTAATCATTCTATTTCAGATAAAATCAGTTATAGATATAAACATATCATTCTATTAATCATTCTAATAATCATTCTATTTCAGATAAAATCAGTTATAGATATAAACATATATAAAATNGTACTAAATCACCCTTGAGTTTATAAATTGTTTACAGCAAAAAGTTGTAACAATTAAAATTTTTGATTGTTTATTAAAATGATACAATACAAAGACTTGTTTATTTCATTATAAATTCGTAACACTAAATAAAATCATTAGATATAGCAACAATGAACTATGGATGAAAAGAAATTAAAACACAGAGAAATTTCACTTGAGTTTATAATTTCTTTACAGACTGTACTAACATTTATTTATAATTTATTTGGGAAGAAGATTAGATTTTAAACAAAATTATCATTATTCAAGACCAATTTTGATAATAAAAAAAAAACATTTTTATTAACATTATTCAATCTGTTTGCTTTCCAGGAGCACAATTTCGTGGATGATATCTGTCGTATAAGCACGTGAAATGGCAAGCATTTCTGCAGTGTGCTCATTGAATAAATGCTGATTTTTACCATAAGATGATTTACATATGTCACTGGAAAAACAAACTTAATTAATGTTTAAAAACACTTCTCCATCATCAACTAATTTGGAAGAGAATCATCCGTACTGTATTTACATTTGTACATTGGAAAATACCAGAGCGCTTCGTGTTTTTTTCTACTGTAAAATATATTTAAATTGTGACTTTGTTTTGTTATATTTGGTACATGAATAAAAAAACCAAATTTCAAATTTCATATGCATTCGAATATTTTATGTTAACATGGTACAAATGTAACTTTTTGACAACCACAAATGTTAGCCAAATAAATTTATTGCTGAATTTTAAACTTTTTTTGAAGATTTATTCAAATATCAAGCCAATTGAGTATAATCTTCAATATACACTGATGGACAGAAAAAGTGAAACACCCAGAAGGCGTCATTGCTTTATGGGGACACTCGTGAAAATAAAAAATATGGTAAAGCAAAATATATGATTATAAAATGTACAATTTAACATACTTCTTAATCTCTCAGTATAAGTCTCAATTGCATGACAACTTATTTCTAAAGCTTCATAAGTCAGTGTGAATTTGGAATTCTTCAGGAAATTACTCAGTGGAAAATTTCTGTAAATGATATATATATATTTATATAAATTCATTTTCATTAATTTAAATTTTTTTAATAGTAAATTAATTTCTTTATATATTAAAAAATAAACATATATGCAGATTAAAATAAATATATTAAAACATTCCAAAAAATTATATATTTTTATCAAGAAATGAACTAAAACATCAACCCAAACATTTGTGGACAGATTGTTTAATATGAGATTATAAGTAAAATAATAATACAAACTTTTAGTTTAAAAGAGCATCAAATTTTCAATTGAAAATAAGTTTCTCAACTGAAATTCAAATTATGCATCTAACTGAATAAGATGGAAAATGATAACTGCTGTGTCGGTTGAGTTAATCTGATTAACAATTTTAATATATTTAAATGTCCTCTAGTGGATGTAGTATATATTTAAATGCCCTAGAGTATGTTAGGCAGAAAAAAATAAAATAAAATGTCTCTGAGCCATGAGTGTTCTTTTCCTTGAGTTTCGAATTGTGAGAGAGAAAATTTTTTATGGTCCACTAACAATAAAAACTTTGACATGAAGGTCCATCGTGGTGGATTTGAAACGCTCATCTGTGGATAAATTTAAATTTGTGTGTCATTGCTTTCAACAGCTGAGATTAACTTTGAGAATTCCAAGTTGAGAGTCTAAGCCTTAATTTGAGAATTCTGAGTTAAAATACCAAGAGCAATTTCTGTTTGTACTTTGAAACATTTGAAATCACATTTAAAGGTGCTAAAAGAGATGATCTTATTCATATTACTTAGAACTTGGGTCTAACTGTCAATGAGAAAGTAACAATTGTGGGTTATATGATAAGATTAAAAAACAGATAAGGTTTAAGGGCAATCCTGAGTCAATTAAGGAAATTGCCAATTTAATTATTGAGGAAAGAAAGTCTGAAGAACAGAGTCATATCAAGATTAAAAGGTTATATTGGAGCAATCGAAAACAGAATTAAAATTAGCCCGCCTTCGAGCTGATTTGAAACCCGAAGGATGGGGATTTTTCTTTTCATTGTTGGAAAGAGTATTTACTTCCAAAAATGTTTCTGACATTCATAAGGCCAAAATCTTATTGAACTTACTGGAGAAGAAAGCCATTAATGTAATTACATATTTAAATGATGAAAATTTAACTAATTATGAGAAGGTGAAGGAGATAGTCTTGAGAAAGTTTCAGCCTATTCCTTACTTGTATTTAGAGCACTTTAGAAGGACAAATCATTTACCTAACAAAACATATGTGCAATTTGCTTCTAGGATGACTACTGCTTGGGAATGCAAGCTGAGGAATGTGTCAGATTTCAAAAATTTAAATGAATTCATAGTATCAGACAAATTGTATCACTAGATAGAGAAACAGCTTCTCATATTAGCATGAGACAGAGAGATGGGTGGTTCAAACCTAACAAATTAGGTAGAGAAATCTACTTACATTTTGCACCCCATTTTCCTAAACCAAATAATACTGGTTCCAAAGAGCAGTTAGCATCAGAGTCGAATAATAAGGAAAACAAAAATTGTACTGAGGCAAAGTTTCAAACAACAGCACAAATGGCCATACCAGGTCTGTGTTAAATGCCGAAGCAACAGAATTCTTGCAAAAGACATTTATTAGTCATCATTGAAGTCAAAAAAATATGGTTTTGTTGAACACTGCAATTTGTTTTTTGATTGATGAAATGGAGAATGAATATAAGGTAAGATGCCTTTTGGATACTGGAAGTGAATCAACTTTCATGTCAAGATGTATAGAAATGATATAATTAAAGAAGGAAAAGGTTAATATTGTAGTTTCTGGTCTAAATGATGCTTTCTATACCATAAAGAATAAGGTTAATGCTCTAATATGTAACTAGGAGAAAGATTTTGTAGAGTTTAGATTTTTTAGTCATCCTCAAAATAACTGCTGAAGTAACTTCCTCACGAAAGTTAGATGTTCGAGTTCAAGATTTTATTAACTTGAAGTTGGTGAATGATAACTTTTAACATTCCAAAATGTGTGGATATGCTATTGAGGGCTGAGATTTTTTATGAGCTACTGAAGCTAGGGCAAATTCAAGATGAGAATTCAGTTTTTCTTATTTTACAAAATACCATTTTTGGCTTTGTCATTTTGGGAAGTGTATCAGCGGAGAACTGTAACCAAATTCATTGTGGCTTTATTAAAGAAGAAACTAGTTTAGACAAAATGCTCAAAAAATTTTGGGAAATTGAGAACATTGAAATTGCAGCACCAAATAGTAAGGTAGCTTCAAGTTATGGGGAATGCTGTCAGCAAAATGGTATGAACAAGGAAAGGGGTAGATAGGCCAGAAAAATGTTGTTAAGAGATGATCCTAGTGGCAACAGCATAGATGAAGTGTTAGAGAAATTTGAAAAAACTATCCGTTATGAAAATGGAATATACGAGGTTGAATTTTCTCGGATAAAGGATTGGAGAGAACTCAACTACAATTTTGATATCAAAACAAAAAGAATAAACTCTCTTCAAAATAGCCTTAAGCATAACCCAACAGTTCAGTCAAAATACTCAGAAACACTGAAGGATTATGAAAGGAAGGAAATCATTGCAAAGGTACTAGATATAATTAAATTAAAAGACAAGACAGTCTACTATCTACCTCACCATCCTGTCATCAGAGAGGACAGCACAACCACCAAGATGCACATCGTTTTTGATGCGAGTTCACATGAGGTTGGGCAACTATCATTAAATGACTGTTGTGGCCTGGGACAAACTCATATCAGAATATATTTGATCTGTTAAACTTCCAACTTCACAAGTTGGAAGTTTAACAGATATAAATGCAACTTCACAAGTTGCATTCATATCAGACATAGAAATGGCTTTTCTGCAATTGTCCTTGGCAGAAAGGGACAGAGATGCCGTGGAAGGAAAATGGCCTTCTTAAAACTTACCGATTCAAGAGAGTGCCCTTTGGGGTCACTTCCAGTCCCTTCCTGTTCAATCAAGGCACAACTAAGAAAGATGCAGCATGATTACCCAGCCACAAAAGAACTATTGAATTGTTGCCTCTATGTGCATGACTTCATTGCCAGTGCCAACAACACGGAAGAAGCCCTGGAGGTCTCCCAAGAGGCTTTGTCCATTATGAAAGAGGCAAACATAATGTTAAGGAAGTGTACAACAAACCATAGCTCTCCAATGGAGCAGTGGAAATAAGACGGACTCGACACCCAATTGGAGCATGATTCCATTAAGTCAGGCTTCTGTGCAGCCAAGGTTTTGGGACTGTCCTGGAATGTAAATGAGGATTGTCTCATCATAGAAGTGAAGGGTCTATTAGAGATCCTGTCTAAGAAATGTCCAAGTGATTCCTCCTATGAGCAGTTGTGAAAATCTTCAACCCATTAGGAATACTTTCATAATTTGTGTGAAACACCTGTGGCTGCAGAAAATTCCTTGGAATGAGCAGTTACCTGATGACATACCGAAAAAATGGCTCCAATGGTGTTCTGAGGTTCCACATCTCACCAGACTTAAGATCCCTAGGGATGTGTATCATTGAGATCCACAGTTTTTGTAATGCTAGTCAAAGGGCCTATGGTGTTTCCATATACTTGAGAGTTGTAAAAGTTGATATTATAGAGAACCTCCTCACTTCCAAGAGTAGAGTGGCTCCTTTCGAAAGAATTACCATTTCAAGACTGGAGCTACTTGGAGTCTTGCTAGCTGCCCTGCTAACAAATAACATCAAGAAAATCTTGGACCAGAAAAAATCCGTGTCTGTTTTCTTCTGGACTGATTCCATAATTACACTTCACTGGATCAAGGGCCAACACTGGAAGCCTTTTGTGGCCAATTGCATAAAGGAAATTCAAAACCTTTGCAATTCAAGTGCCTGGCATCATTGTCCAGGTAACCAGAACCCAGTGGATCTTTTATCTTTAGGCATAAATGACAATCATCTGTTAGACAATCCCTTTTGGTTCAATGGTCCAGAATTCTTGAAAAATCAACTTGAACTGAAATCCCCAGATATGACAGTTGAGATATTAGAGAATGAGGATGATTACTTGTGAGAATTAAGGAAATCTGATAATACTGTTTTCTGTGCCATCAGTGTTCAGCAATCTTTTCTAGACAATCTATTAAATCAGAGTAATAATTATTGTAAACTGTTTGTAAGATTCTTAACATTTTCAGTTTTATGGGTCAATTTATTTACAATTGTCGTGAAAGAGACAAAAGAATTGGTTGCTAAGTGTAGATGAAATCAATGAAAGCGAGACCAAACTCATTTCATTTGTAGCCTTAGCAATGACTATGACAATTTGAGTAAATCTCAACAGGTTGATAAAAGGAGTAATCTTAAGGATTTAACTCCCTTCTTAGATAAATCAAATGTAATATGTGTGGGTGTAAGGTTGAAAAGGAGTTCTCTTAATTTCAGTTCTAAACAACATATATTATTACCAAAGAGTCATAGACTGACTCATTTGATTATGTTAAACAAAACGAACATCTTAAATATTTCTATGGTGATGCAGAATCTCTTTTAAATTGTAATTGTCAAAAATATTGGCTCTTGGATGGAAGCTAAAAAATAGTTCATAACTGCATAACTTGTACTAAGTACAGCCTGGTCCTTTGTCAACAACAAATGAGTAACTTACTAGTGAAAGATTAAGGCCTTCGTTTCCTTTCTCAGTAACTGGTGTAGATTTTTGTGGTCCTTTTACCATTAAAAACAAAAATCAACAAAGGAGGTCATATCATAAGATGTACATTTGTATTTTCATATATTTTTTAACCAAGGTTGTTCATTTTGAAATAGTTTCTGAATTGATGAGTGAAGGCATTATTGCATCTTTGAAGAGATTTTTAGCCAAATGTGGTAAATATAATTTTTTCAGACAATGCTAAGAACTTTATTGGAGCCAACAATGAGATGAAATGTATGTATAATCTTGTAAAATATCCTGATGAAATGTTGGCTAATTATTTAAGATCAGAGAGAATTCAGTGGAAATTCATTCCACCAAGGGCTCCTCATTTTGGGGTTTTTGGGAGGCCGGCATCAAGCGTTTCAAATTCCATTTTAAAAGTGCTGTTGGAGTCACCATACTAACATTCAAGGAATTTTTGACAGTTATAAATCAAACTGAAGGAATCTTGAATTCTTGTCTGATTTCTCCTGTCCGAGGATCAAAATGACTTAGAAGCCTTGACCCCAACCCATTTCTTGGTGGGATGCCAGCTATCATCAATTTTTGAGCCAGATGTTATGAGTTTGAAGGACAATACTTTGAGCAGATGGCAATATACCAGTAAGTTGACAGCACTTGTGGAAGAGATAGCAAAGATACTACCTCAACCATCTTCATCATAACAAATGGTATCTTAGATAGAATTGAAGTTGTAATATATTTTACAATAAGATTAGTATGTGTATTATTAAAACTAAGGCTGGTCACACAAAACAACCAATAACAAAGTTAGCAGTCTTACCAATACCAACAGAATAACTGTAATTGAAATTTCTTAGTTTAAAATTTCGTAATTGTAGTTATTTTGTAAGGAACCAAGTCTGAGCTTTATTTTTATTTTACTTTTATTTTGCTTTCATTATATTTTGTTNTATGTTTTAATTATTATATTACCTATTTAGATAATGTTACTTTTATGTTTCAATTTACATAATTATATTTCAGTTTTGCATTGAAATAAATCTGTATGTAAAAATCAATGTTTTTAACTTTTATGCCTTTGTGTACTTAACTTATGTATTTATGCTTAAATTGTCAACTAGGACTTATTATACTGGATAACTGGTTCTACAAGTTAAATAATCAAATCAGAAAAAAAACAGTCTTTTATTTATCACCTGAACACACACACGATATCTTTGTGTTTCAGACCTTTGGTCCCTCATCAGCAGGTTTCCGACCGACATTCTCTAAAAAATCAATTATAAAATTGTTACAAATTTATATAAAACATAAAATATAAAATTCCCAACAATAAAATAAACAGTGTAAAACTTACAATATCATGGTTTATAAATACATCCTTGAATCTAACAATATTTAAGACAATAAATAATACATATCCAATCCTATTCCTGCATTTAAAACAATAAAATCAATTAAATTGATAAAATTGGATTAAACCCTTTTTTTAAAAAACTTACATCATTTATCATTCACTTTCAATTAAACATTGCCTAATCTTGAGTTGATCTTTCCTTTTATCCTTTCGCCTCTTCCACCCTCTGTTGATGATTCCATTCCATGATTGGAACAGAAGTATAATAAGTCCTAGTAATAAATTAAGTCCTAGTTGACAATTTAAGCATAAATACACCAAATGTTTTTTTTTTCAAATTTAAAAATGTATCATTTTTGTAACAAACATATGATGATGATGATGATAATAAATCATTGAAACTACCAAAAATAAATATAGTTTAATCTTTAACACTATGCTTATTTTCCTGTTTATTTGATATTTATACACAATGAAATGGTTTTTGCTGAACAGTACTAAATCTGCTGTGTCATTATTGTTTGTGCTTTTATGCTTTCCATGTTTCAATTAGTATTTAAATAAAACACTGGTATTGTTGGAAATTGCTAGCTCAAATTCATTCAGCAATATTATAACAGGTTTCTTAATTGTAAGTAGTTTGAATCTATCAGCAATTAAGTCAATTAATATAAAATTTAGATAGGCTTAATAATAATTTAAATCAGTATTTTATAAAGTAATGTGTAAAAATTGAAAATTTATTGACACTTAATGTTTCATAAGTTCAAAATCTACATTATATTTATGTTGTAAAGTGAAAAATTAATCATCATGGAAAATGGAAATCAAAATTATTAATTTCCAAGATAAAAAGTTAAAACTTTCATTAATCTGATATGTTTAGAAATAAATATGTTTACATTTTGTTAAATTTGTCTAATCTGATCTTATCTAACAAGTAGTTTAACAAATATTTTAAAAAATTTAGAAAAACTATAATATATTACCTGTTTAAATCTAGCTTCATATAACAGCAACCAACAGACAAAATTACATTAGCTTCAAAGTTATTCAAAAATAATTTAATCATATTAACTGCAAGATTTCCACAAGTATGCAGCCCAACAATACTGAAAAATATCTGAAAATAAAATACAATTAAATTCATTAAGATTAGATACTAAAATATTTTGTATCTACATTTGAATATTTTTTTATATAAAAGAACAAAATTATTCTATAAAGATATTAAAAGGAAATTAATTTAATGTAATATATTATAAACTATAGAATGACTATCATATGTAATGTACAGATAACTAGTTACATTAAAACAATGTAGCAAATTAAGAATAAATGATTATTACTCTTTATTTAAAATAAGAAATTCAGTCTCATATAAGTCTTATTAAAAATATAATTGATCACAAATACATAAACTAATCAATGATTTAGAAATAAAGCCATCTATAAAATTTATAAATAAAAGTTTTATATATTATAATTCTTTGCATTTTATTTGCATTTTAAAATAAGTCCTTAAAGGTTTTAAAATCACTATCCAAAACTNATTTTTTAAGATTTTAAGAAGTCATGTGAATTTTATTGTGGTTTTATTTAGAAATTTCAGATGTGGTTTAAAATGTATCTGGAAAAATCTATTTTTAAATAAAACAACACTTGTATGATTAAAGATTCAATTTATTTATACAGTAGACTCCCTATAACGCAGTAGATACGTTCCACTTTATAAGAATTTCACGTTGTAGGAATCCTTAAATATATGAGCCAATCACAGCCCGACACGTGTGCAGTTTACGGACTACGGCTGTTTGAAAGGTTTTCCTCCATAAAATTAATCGATTCTAGACTAATCTGACTCAACATTTCCAAAACATGTATAATTTTTTGGGAATAATCCGTATAAACTATGCTATAAACAAAAAATTATAGGATTAATTACCGAGTGTGCACCATTCAACGACGCCATTGCTTAAGCTTGTTTTCATCGCGGAGCAGTGCACCAAATGGCAGGCGCATTTTCTGATAAGTTATTTTTCTGTGAAAAATTCATTGAACTTTGGAGACATCATTAATAAAAATAATTTTTATGACCGTTGAATAAGAAATGCTTTTTTCACAAGAAATGTATAAAATTACAGTACTGTATTAGACTTACGGTACCTAATTTATATACTGTACAGACGATAGTAAACTCAACTTTCCGTAGCGTGTAAGTAGTTCAGCTGCTCGTCCACTATTGGTCCAGATTCGACCAATCCTGTCGCGACATGAATCGGTGATGACGTTTTACTGCATTTTACGAGTCTCTTTTAGCATCTTTATACGAATATGGTCGCAATTTTTTCCCCGCGACATACGAATCCATGTTATAGGGGGTCGACTATATATACCAAAAAGATAATTTTTTTATATCTATGGCATTAACTTAACAGTATTGCCTGTAAGAATTTTTATATGAAATAACTAACTTGATGTATTTATTATATACAGATTAAAGTTTATTTCATTTCTACAAAAAATCTTTTCTCTTACTTGATATTTACATCAGAAGAAAATCTCAATCTCCAAATTACAAAATGAAATAAATTAAAATTTACATATTAGTAATAATCTGTAAATTTGGAAAATGGGTAAGTGTTGCTTATTATTATTATTATTATTATTTTAATTAAATTTTGATATATCTGAAAAACATTACAGATGTAAATCCTGCTCTAAAGAACAAGATTCAAATCTCAATCTTTGTGCAATATATGATCGCTTCATCATTTATGCATTCATATATTATTAATAACTTTGTGGTCAGTTATTATGGCTGATATGCTGTTTTATTTCCATTCACAATTTCCATTCAATATTTTAATTAAATATCTAATAGGAAAGTGACAAAATGGAAAAGTTTGTTTGTCCTAATTAATCATTCTATTTCAGATAAAATCAGTTATAGATATAAACATATCATTCTATTAATCATTCTAATAATCATTCTATTTCAGATAAAATCAGTTATAGATATAAACATATATAAAATAATTTACATACATCTGAGTTTATTACATCTGTTTCCCAATTTTTCTTTATCATCTGAAAAAATTTATTAAATGGCAAATGTTAAAATGGGATTCCACTGTATATACAATATATATAGACAATACTTACTTGAATTAATTCAGATTCACTTGTCGATTCAGATATATGATAAACAATATGCTTTGGCAATATTAAAGCACTCAATTCAGATTTCTCATTCAAATTACTATTGTTTTGTTTCTTAACAATTTCTCTTAAAGCCTACAATAAAACTATCTGTAACATTTATAAATTTATAGATAAAATATTTTCTAATAATTATTTAATGAATTACAATGCGTTTATTACCTTCTTATCATATTTTTCTGCAGTTTTAATGTGAGATTCTATAGTCTCCATTGTTATTACTTGAAAGCCATACCGAAGTGATAAAAGACGAGATAAATGTCCCTGGCCAGATCCAATATCAACAACATTATGACATTTAATGTTTTGTAAGACCACTTGGGCAATCTGAAATATTATTATAATTACATATGAAATAAATATTATTTGGTAACTGGAACTTCAGCCTCTTACTTTGTAGAAATAGTATGATTCACATATTCCAATGGTGTGAATTATATAGTTTCTAAAAAGCTTACTGGTGTGCCACAAAATTTCAAAAAAATAACATTAAAATGCTAATCGTTTCATCCATTTTAATATTTTGTATACTTTTTTACATAAAACAGGCAATGTTCGTGTAAGGCTATCATTTGATGCAATACATAAGTGATGCATTAATGATGTCCTTACAGAATCTAATTAAATTAAATCTATTGTTATAAAATATTTTTTATAATTAGATAGTCCTGTTTTACCATTAATGGCTAAATTAATGATTTTTGATAGATATTGCTATATACTTTTTCTATAAGAGTTAACTGTGTCTGTTTCAAAATTGAATTAATTTAAGAGCTATAAATAATATGAATACTACTGATGATTGAGGTTTAGGTAATATATTCATACAAAAGAACTATAAAATAACTATAAAAAGAACTCCTACCACTTGAAATAGTTGAAATATTTATTTAACAATAGAAAGAGAGAAAATAAACTCTAAAAGACAGATAAAAATATTCTTAAAATTATATTTAAGAAATTATTAGTCTTTTAAAAGCAATAATTACATATAAATTCAACAATATAACAAAACATTAAAGATTTATTAATGAATGTACTTTCACCTTTAGTATAATTAAAGCTTCTTTGGTCTAAAATTGAATATAGGTTTAAAATTATTTTCAAAATGTTTGATTTATAAATAAATTCAAATAATACTTTTTAAATAATTATTTTAAAAACAGTAAAAATAAATTTAACAGCAAAATGTAAATTTTCCTCAACATTGTTTTTTTAAAAATTTATTTAATTATAGATCAATGGTTTCCAAAACAGTGATATTGCCTCATAGGAAATGGTGGAATTATTTGAGTGGGTGCTAACAGACAAATGGACAGCATGAGACCACCGGTTATGAGCTCTTCTAAGCTTGTTTTTCATGTATCATTGCTCATTGACAATTACTACAATTAGTTAATTACTTTGGAACAAAATGTTATGAAAAAGTAATTTTTTTTAAACTCAGTTCTTTTAAAAATCCTACACATGAAGCCAATTTATATTATATTTGAAATATTTAAAAATTACTAACCTGTGCAATTCTTTCAATTTCATGACGTTTTTTAGGTTTTACATGTCTTGTAAATATATGATCAAAATCTGAACACTTCAACATTTCGGCATCTTCATTTGAATTTATGTTTCTATCTATAAAATTAAGTCATTATTTCTAAACTTACATTTCTTATTTATAATTTTAATATAAAAATTTTCAATATTCTATGCTAATTATAACAAAGTAAATTTTCATTATATTATCAATTGTTATTAACCATAATGCTGTCATCTTATAAATATCTGTAATACCATTCATTTAAAACTACAAAAAATAACCTATAATCTACTTAAGAAGTCCTTTTTTTTACTTCTCATAAATACTTTCAAAGGCATTTACACATTTCATTCTAAATGCTAAAAGGTTATAAACAATCTTGGAAGTTAAAAATAAAAATTGCCAGGACAAATTATGACATTTACATAGAAAATATCTTTCTTCTTGACTATACATACATAGATGAGTCTTTGTCTACTTTCTGTCCTTTCACATGCTGTACAAGGCAATAACAATTCCACCGGCAAAGTCGACCTTTCTATATAGGCTACCGTTCGCACGTAAAATGTAAAACAGTTAAAAACATCCTCTAGCGGTGGCTTAGAAATTAATAATTACATTTTGTTAAAAATAAAAATTGCCATGGTAGCCTACATAGAAAGGTTGACTTTGCCGGTGGAATTGTTATTGCCTCGTACAGCGTGTGAAAGGACAGAAAGTAGACAAAGACTCATCTATGTATGTATAGTCAAGAAGAAATATATTTTCTATATAAATCTTGGAAGTGTTTACGACCATTGACAGGTTAGCCAAAAAATGCCTATTACTGAATAAACATTTTTTTTGGCTATCCTGTCAATTAGTTCAAACATGCTTTACTAGTAACAAGATTTGATTTAAACACCTTCTTTAAAGTTTAAAGTGCCTTTGAGATATCATAATGTAGCATTACAATGAATAGTTATTGTATTTTCAGAAGAGCATGAAAATAAAACTAACAAACATTACCTATTTCATGGTATTTGAATTATTTTTCTAACTTGTTGTTTCTTTTAAAACTTAATAAAATTAATGATTTAACAATTTTTCCCTTCATAAAAAAAATCTTGATTTCAAAGTCGTGATGAATCTTAGATTCTATGGCTATGTAAAATTGAAGGAATATGCTATTTGAAAATATGTATAACAACCTGTTCCAAATACAAGTATAATTGCTTTTATTTATCCCATTTATAATTAAATACAGTGTGATTCTCTCACTAAGAAATCCCAAACATTTCTCAACAACTTGGTTATTTCTTTATATTTGCATATGAATATTTATATGGAAGACTAGTTTAAAAGACCTTGTACTTTGAACAAGTTTTTCCTAAAGCAATGCTAAAATATGACTACCTGCAGCATCTAAACACCTTTATATCTAACTTATCAGCCTCTTATTCTTTTATAAAACTGTTACAATTGAGATTTACTTTAACATACTCAAAGATTTGTACTGTCCATCAGTTAACAGACAAACAATTGACAAGTTATTATTTTCAACAAGATAAAGCAATGTGCCACATATATATGCAAACATGAGAAAAATTAAAAGTTGTTTTTGGTGACCAAGTAATCTCCAAAAATCTTTGGCCACCAAGATCTTGAGGCCTAATGGCTTCCAACTTCTTGAGGTTTAATAAAGGAGTGAATATACAGCAATAATCCTTGCAAAATTTACACCTTCAAAGACATGATATGGTGGTGTTACTGCCATTACCTAGATCACATTAACAAACATGTTTGAAAATCTGCAGATTCAAATACAAAAGAGCTTAAATGTTAAAGGAGGCCATTTTCAACATCTTCAGGAAAACTTGTTTTGCAATGTACAAGATATATCCATATAAATTTTCATAGGCATATATAAAGAAATAACAAAGTTGTTAAGAAATGTTTAAGACCTCTGTAAAGAGAATAACCCTGTGTAATTTTTTCATTTTACTACATCGTACAGAATGCATATCAGCAGGCCCGTCTTTGGTACGTGCGAGGTCCTGAGCCAAGAAAAGCTTGGAGGCCCCCTTAAGGAATTCGTAATGGAGGGTTAATGATCATAAATTTTTTCAATTAGCTTTCTTTGCTAAACACATTGGTATATTTATGTTTAATAAAATTTATCAAATATCTTTTGATTGTTTACTATTTATAATAATTTTATTACTTGTTGCTCTATTCAATTTTGCATATTTTTGAGGTCTCGAATGTTAGGAGGCCCAGTAAAGACAGGCCTGCTGATAATTTTAATAATTAGAACAACTAACCAAATTTAGAAAGGATCTGGTATCAACGTGATAATATAATTTATTATGTTGATATTGATATCACTTTGAACTGTTCACATAAGATAGAAAATGTCTTTAAAAACATTCAGTAATTCTTTATAAATTCTAAAATGTAAATTAAACATTTATGAAACTATTAACAAGAAGTTTACACAAAAATTTAATAATATATTTTATTTAACTTATAAAAAGTAATTTTGATAAAAGACAAATTACCTTTATTTTCAAATTTAAAAGAATTCAGAAACTGTTCTAACTGATGGAAACAGGTAACTGCTTTACGAGATAATGTGAATGTATGTGCAACAATTCGAAGAGCTTGCAGACCCAAAGGCCAGACCTCTTTGTAACTGAAAGATTTATAAAAAATCATTGTATCATTCAAAAATATATTAACAATTGATTTTATAATTTATAATTAAATGAATGGAAATGGTTTAAATTTACCTTTCATACTATCACTATATTAAAAATTTAAACTAAATAAACTGTTAGAGAGTAAAATACCATAATTAACTATATATGACATCAATATTTGTATATTTTCCCAAGTTTTAATTTCTGTCTTTACAATTTATACAAATATAAACATCTACTAACCCGATTTTTAGATTAAAGATTTAGATTACTCGATTTTAGATTACTTGATATTTAATTAGTAGTTAGTAGCAGAGCAGTAATTAGGGTATGGCCAATGTGGCCCCTGCCATAGATGCCAATTTAATAAAGGCGCCAACGAGAAGGTTTCGAAATAATATGTATTCGAAATTAATAACATAAATTTTCATATTTATTGTTATTGCCTCGTACAGCGTGTGAAAGGACAGAAATTTTTTTTAAAATAATATTATTATTTTTTTAATAATAAAAATTAAAAAGGTGCCATTTTTATTCTTTGCCATAAGCGTCCAGAATCCTAGTTATGGCTCTGGTTAGTAGCATTAATCCCAATGTAATCTGGTAATCGCTTGGTTTTACAATTTATGCATAACTCTAAATAAAAGAGTAACTGACCAATGTATTTGAGAATTATTAACTATAAAAGCACTCAAGCTTATGAATTAATTTCTCATATGACATACATACAGTGAACCTTTCATCTTAAAGTGCTTTTGGCTTTACCGCCCATTGATACAATTACATTCTACTATAAAGACATAAGAGTTTAGCTTTTATTAAAGTTAAACTATTAAATAAACATGAACTTGTCCCTTTATTTTCATGATAATTTTTATACACAGTCTTAGTTTTATGCATTCTCATTTTATAAAATCAAAAAAATATACCTTTCTAACATATTTATTAAAATTATTATATATCATTGAGCCAAAAATTCTTTCTTGTTTGTATATTTTATATCATTCTATCATTTTTTACATTGATTTGTGGAGAAGTAAGTATTAATCATCTTGACACAATAATAATAAACTTATTGTTCTGCACTCTGTGCAAAAAAAATAAAAAAACAAAAAAAAATTCATTTTAGAACTTGAAGTGATTTGATTAATTTATAAAATCCTTTCAAAATTTTGTTAAGCAATAAATACTTTATTCTTGCTCTTAATTTACATCTATAAACATGAATATAAAATGACAGCATAGCAACACAAACTACGCCTTAAAAATGCTGCATGTAATTAACTAACAGATCATAAATAAGAAACTATAACAAAAACTTTTGCACATTTAAATAAAAGTAAATATTCCTTTGAATGCATGTATTAGGCAAAAGTAGGTATAGTCACAAATATTCTGAATGTTAGAAGAGATCTTAGCTAGTACTGATCAGCTTCTATTGCAACTTAACAAATAAAGATGTGATCAGTGTGTTAAATGATTAAACACAAAATAAATATTTTTACAACTTACAAAATCTACAAGGAACACTTAATATATTCCTTAAAAATATGATTTATTTAAAAATATTTGCTATTCAGTGGCTACTTTTGAGTTAGTGACACTTGCATCATGGCATTTTACAGGTGGAAGCTTGGAAAAAAGGTTATATTCTTTGTTAACACATAGAATTGATGTTGTTATTGAGTGTTGCTAGTGAAGAATGATAACTTATTTGATCCTAGTGTTCAGTTATAAAAATAAAAATTAGAATACTTACATTATTATTATTTTTATGTTTGTTTGTTTGTAAATAAAGACACAGTCGTTCCAAAAATTCTTTTGAAAACCATCATTTTATTATGTGTTATAGAATAAAACTTTAGACGACCAGACCTTCCATTACAGGCTACTCGGCTGTCCAGTTTAAAACATTCATTAAAAAACATCCAAAAAAATTATCAAATTAAAAATATAAATTAAAAAAATTGGAACTGGCAGATCTTACGACATCTTCAGATTTTTGATCCTGTTCCATTCGGAATTCCGGCCTTTATAACCACTGGAAGAAAGCACTGTTAAATGTAGATTCTCTGGTATTCTGGTATTTTTGGAACAACTGTGTCTTTATTTACAAAGAAAAATTTACCATCCAACAGAAACTTTATCAAAATACTTACATCATCATTATTATTATTATTTTATTTTTTTCAAATGACACGACAAGTTTTATGGACTGTCAAGTTATCAAGAATCAAGTTTCCAGGACTCTACTGTAGCAGTATTTTTTCCTTCTCATTATTAAACAATCTTGTTAATAATTTGATTATCCTAAATAATTCAAAAATTAGCAGCAAAGTCATTTCATTTACCTCATTTTTTCTTTCGTTAACCAAACTGATAGATCTTGTGGTTCTACATTGCAAAGACACAATTGCCAGGAAAATGGTAATTTCGACCAATGGTTATCGGTGAAGAAATCCTAAAAATAAGTTTCGTATGATTAATTTATATAACAACAAAATAATTTAAATTAAGAAAAATGATAATAATTAAGACTTTTTTTTAATAGTTAAAGCAATATACAATTCATAATATAATCTCAAATAATAAACAACAATTCCAATGCAATTTAAAAAACATTATTTGCTTTTGTGTATTTATAAAAAAAACTTAAAACGATTTAAAACTTCAAAATCCAAATCTGTTTCAGACTTTCCTGATAAATTAACAAAGAATTAAACAATAATAATATCTTATGATCATCACCAAATACCAAACAAACAGCTGGATTCTTTATTGAGCAATAAGGCTAAATAATTACTAAGCAATTTGGCAGGAGGCAGGACAGGCTGTCATCTCTTGTTAAATAAAATAATTATAATTTATCTGTATTTCATGACAAAATGCTTTTTTCGATAGACACTAGGCTTTACTTTACATCCATTTTTATTTTGATTTTTAGGTGCCGATACACAGCACCCAAAACGCAAATTAAAGATGAATGGAATTATAAATTAACAAATTTATTCTGGAAGAAAAGATCAGCCCAAAGCAGGACTCGAACCTGCAACTCCCACTTACCGTGCAGATATGATGCCAGTTATGCTACCCAGACCTCTGTTCGATCTTTGCTTCCTTAAATAATTTCAGATATAACAACATTGATCATTTATCAGTCACCTGAGAAAGAATTTGGCTGTTTGTTTGTTATTTAAAATAATTATAGGGTTAGTTATATTTATTATAGTTTCCACCAATTCCTGTCATGAGTTTCCATGATAATTCAAGTAAGATAAACATGTCCAACATTCTGTTTCTAGTCCAATTAATTCTCTGTCTTCCTAATTACAAACTAATAATAGTGAATTTACAGCATATTTGACAATTATTTGGCACAGCAGAAGAAAGAAGCCCATTTTTATTTGAGATAGAAAATGTCACATCTATAAATCTGAAACTTACACTTAATTAAGAACTGTCATTTCAAAAATAGAACAAATCACTTACATTATCAAACTTCGGATCCAAAGACAAAATGCATTTATCTCAAAAAAAAAAAAAAAAAGTCTTCTTAAAATGAATAGCATGCAATATTAATATTAAAAAAAGGACACTAAATCCATTTAAATTTTAATATTAAAAAATATATCAACACAGTAACTAGAAATATTTAGATAGAGATAGATATTGCATTAAAAGAACGTAAACATGAAGTCTTATTTTAACAAATATACGAATCTTCCTAACTATATAAATAAATTTTCGCATCCTAATTACATATTACAATATGAAAATCATCAGAACCAAGTTTATCATCTTATCTTCATTTAACACATTGACTGTCAACGAGTTAACTTGTAAGTGATGGTTTCTTTTAGGACGCTGTCTACAAGTTATCTCGTAAAACTTGATCTGGTCTGCAGCATGCAATAATAACATACTCATAGAAAATAAATAATAATAATAATAATGGACAGAGGATATCTAGATTAATTTAAAATAATCATGGCATCACAGAACAGAATATTTATTTGGAGAAAAATGGAAAAATTTACACAATGAAATATACAAAATCAAAATGGAGTTAGGAGAGGTTGACAGTCGTTAATAAATAAAAGTTAATAAACAATAAACAATAGTCGTCGTTAATAAACAATAGATGAAAGTTCTTGACATTAAGTTGTTTCTTTAGAAACCTGAAATCATTGATTTCTTTTTTGTTAAGAATGATAACACTACAAAAATATTTCATGTAGAAAACATAATACAAAGTTGTTAAGAAAAAAAAAATTGGCATTATAAAAATAAACACTGTTTAAAAATTTTAAAAAATTTAAGCAGAGATTTCAATCCAAAGTTTTGCACAGTTTTCAGCAAATCTTTACATTTAAATCAATGTGTCAAATGGCCGAGGCAGTTAAAGCCTCGATCTACTGCTCTAGGATCTCGGAATCAAATACAGGTGGTTGGAAAGATCTCCAGAAATTTTTTACGAGAAATCTGCCACGAATATGTTGGGTCCTTCCTTTGCATTCAGCTGACCCCAATTGTGGACATAGCCAAACTCACAATGGATATGATTAATAATATCCTCTTATTATTCAAAAGACAGAAAAATAGGGAAAAAGTTAATGATTTCTGTAAATTTAAAAAATGAATTTATTCTAATTATAGAAATAATCTGTAAAAAGAAAATAAAATCTAAATCTTAATTAGAAGTATCAGAAAGACAGTGTGAAACAATTTCTTCAATGACAAAATTATTCCAAACAATGAAAAGCAGACAATGAATCAGATCTTTCTTTCTAGACACCTGGTAGAGTCGATGTTTTTATTCTCCCTGTCTCAATTATAACAATGTTTCTTTTTTAATTCTATTAACTAAGATTTGACAAAGCTAAATTTGTTTTCAAGACTTATATAAATATCACTAAGGCAGTTCTAATGGAAGCATAGTGAAAGGAAGAATCAAATTACGATTTCATTGGGCATCTACAAAACAAGTGTTTACTTTTCATTGTTTGGAATTATTTTGTCATTGAAGAAATGCTCTTTCATTCTTTAATTCTTTTAAAACCGAGCATCTGTCATACAATAATGTACTTGATAACAAGACCTAATTTTTCTGAACTATTCCAGAGTGGCGCCATTGTTTTAAATTAATCAATTTAGTGCACTTCACTGCAACAAAATAAAAAAAAAACCTTCAAAATTAAATCTGTTTCATATAAATTGCGACATTACGTGACATCATATAAATTTTACAAAATTTAATATTTTTAAATTACCTAATTTTTATATTAAATGTATGTAAATTATACAAACAAAACCAAAATAATTTCGATCATTTTTGCAATTATGCTTGCAAAATTTGCACTTATTAGAATAACTTCAGAATAAATTAATTTATTTGTAATTATAATGTAAATTTATGGAATTAGATTAATCAATACACTTTCCCTTGTAAAGATGTTGATTATATAGAAATTTATTTTTATCATGAATTATTTATTATTTTCTCATGAATAAAGAAAGTAGTACAAACATATTCATACTAATTACAAGTAGCAACATGCTATTTACTATTCAAAAATATATAAAATGTGTGATGAGTTATATAAGATCGAATGAATTATATAAGCAAAGCAATTTGTCATTGAAGAAATGCTCTTTCATTCTTTAATTCTTTTAAAACCGAGCATCTGTCATACAATAATGTACTTGATTGTATAATACAATAATGTACATTTTTTGCCATTTGAAATTTTCAACTATTTGAATGATTAGGAATGAAGTTATAACAAAAATATGGTTTTAAAAAAATAACTGTTGCTAAAAGTTAATATCCATATTCAAAACTCAGAATCAAAAACCAGCTAAAAGTTAACAAATTAGCATCCACTTTATTCTTTTCATGTGCAAGTTAACAACTGACTAAAACTCTTGATCCAGAGTTTTGAAGGCATATGCATGTCTTAAATGGGTCAAACACTACACAATTTTGCTGCGCAACATTGTCTGTAAGCCAATTTTGACATCAGAAAACATGCTACCCAACAAGGGCTAGCCAACTTTACTTTTCTGAAAGTTTGGACTTGCTGTCATCAACAACCAATCAGCAAAAGTCTCGGATGATACTTGTGTCAATTTATGAGCAGCAAAGTAGTAACATCTGTCATCACGCGACTCGTCTCTGAAGGAAAATGTTGCCTAATGTTTGCTCTCCCCACAAACATTGTTAGGTAACAAAACCATCCATCAATCACAGTCAGTTAAACTGTGTAGAGTTCATCCTGCTTTAGCAGCTTAATCAAATAGAAAATTTAGCACCTAATGCTAATGCACAACCATGGGCTAAAACAAAAATTTTCTCTTGCTATATATTTATGTAACAAAAGAATCATCTTCTTATTAATTGCTGACTCCATAATCATCATTAGGATGAAAAATTGCTATATAAGTTATAGAAATTGTGTCTTTATTGAGAAAAATATTTTCCAAAATCCAAATGTCTCATCATCAGCCCAAACATTCTGTTAAACGTAACAGAATGTTTGGGCCGATCAACAAAATTTAAACCTGGTTTAATTTTTGTTTATCATTTTTAACAGAATGTTTACTTTTAAATCTTGAGAAACATTTCATCTCAATAAATATATGACTTAGCATGTTTTTATTAACATATACAACATGTTTTTTTTTTTCATTCTGGTAACAAAAGAACTTTTATTTACAATTACATTGAATTGTATTATTTACTTTTTATTTCCATTATCCACATTACAGAATTTTACATTTGTAGAAGTTTCATCTGCATATTTATTCATTAATTTTGTTGTGGTATCAGCCTAAGTTTTTGTAATTACTATTGATTAAGAGAAAATAGCATAAAAAATCCTTAATCAGGTTAATGCAAGTTAAGAATGTTAACTAGCATTAATTGCAATTTGTAATTAATTGGAATTTTGTATTTTTGTAATTATTAATTGTTCAGAAAATCCAATATTGGATAGTAGTAATTTTTAGTATATTTTTTGTTTTGTTTTTATCCCAAACTCCAATGCAGACAACTAAGCCGGACAAATGTGGCATGTGTCCAGGCATTAGATAAGGTGGTGATGAGAGATGTATAATTATTTAGGAAATAATTTGAAGAGCATATTATAAGGGATAATTCATCAGTGCCAGATAAAAGAACATTAATTAAGTACATAGGATAACGGGGGAAGGCAAAGTAGCAGTGGTATGGGCTGACTCATCACATGTCAACATTCCAAAACCTCCAGAAAAATAAAAAAGGGCAACAAGAACTTACTTTGTTTGTATTGTTTTATTAAGTTATGACAATGCAACACTTCGGCAATCTGCCTAGGGCAGGGGATGCCTTCCAGGAAATCTTTTTAAGGGTAACTGGCCCCTATTCAGGAATTACAGATGTGGAGAAAACCCAGAAAACTCCACATGGCCAGCCCGTCCTGGCGAGGCACAAAACCATGACCAAACTTTCAGTTTTTAGGGAACGGAACCACTTGGCCACTAGTGGGCAGAACTTAGTTTGCCCAGATGAGAGAGATTCAAATTGCACCCCATCTGATACAAACGAAGCTCCGAACGAAACGGTCGGACCTTATCAGAGCCGTATGCCGTGCCCATAGAAGTTAATCAAAGGAACCAGTAGTCTACACATACCCCTGCAAGATATAGCCCCGAAATCAACCCACGGGACGCCCGTTAAATACACGAAAGGCTCGATGGAATCCACAACACAACTCCGATTGCGCCCTGGTATTTCTTGTGATTTATGAGATTTTAGTCATCTCTAGCAAAGCAAAAACAATCGATTTTAGCACGGTTTCAAGAAATAGTTTGAGATTTTTTCACTTTTAAATTTTACCTCATTTCTGAGGTCTTCGAAATCACAATCGATTGATTTTGGGGGTTATATATTGTAAAGGGTCACACCTTCATCTCTTTTACTCCCACGGGCACGGTCTACGGACGCGACAAGGTCCCAACCACCTCGTTCGAAGCCGCACTCGTGCCACCATCCGACACAAAGAATTTCTTTTAGTTCGTGACCAATAGTTTACATTCAGTCCTGGTTTTTTGGAGCAACCGCAGTTCATACATTACAGTTTACAGTTTAGACACTGTACTTAAACCAAAGCAACTTGTATCATTTATTCCTATTTGTATATGTTAGCATTGCATGTGTTAGAGTAATTCTAACACAAATTAAGGGAATTTATTTATAAAATGTGATTTAATTTATGTAAATAGATTTATACACCATCAACACCAATCAATACATCTTCTGTAGAAATGTATTACGTAAGAGTTTTCTTTATAGCATGAATAATTTATAATTTTAAGTGGAAATAAAACGATTACGTACCAACACAAAGGAATCGATTAACCATGTAAATTCTCTCAAGAATTTCGTTAAGAAAGAAATGTAAAGTTTAATTTGATTGGCTTCTTGTTCGTTACGTATCGAGATCATTTCCGAAAATGCTTAAATAATGCGAATTTCAAACAGCAGTTGTATCGTCTGCATCAAACACGCTACGCACGCTTTCGTGTTGCCAGATTAATTAAAATCAAAATAGTGTGAAGGAAAATTTAACTAAAATACTAAACTGTTATTGTTATATATTAATAACAACAATATGTCAGTTAATAATAATATTATGATTAATATTTTTATAATTTCGGGTAGAGGATCACTTCAATTGGGAATCGAACCGGAATCCTCCGTAACGAAAATGTTTCTTTATATAAATATAGTTCTATTTTTTTTTTTTAAGCTTTTATTTATGCAAATATATTTATCTGTGAACTTTCTTTTATAAGAATTTGTTACGTAAAAATTTTTAGTATGCGTAACTTATTTTTCATGAATAATAACGCGAGTAATGTAAGATAAATATGGTGAAACAATCTACTTAATACAGAAAAATTACATAAGAAGTTAATAAAAAGTTAAAAGCAGTAAACTTAAAGTGATTTTGAAATACAATACGCCGTATGTTTTATATAATACTGAAACTAAACTGGAACCTTGTAATAATTATAAATAAATTCACAGTAAACTAACGCTTGTGTTTGTCATAAATAATTTGCATTATATACGTTTAAATTATGTAATATATACTGCAAGACACTGTGGTAAACGTGAAAAACTCTGGGCCAAATTAATAAACATGGTTATATCAGAACACTTGATAATCCGCGTGATCAACTTTAGTGTGTAAACGACAATCGATAAAATAAATTAATATAATTATTCATTAAAACAGTATATAATTTCAGCCTGATTGAACCCGTAAGCAAACAAGAAAGCTAAAGACAATAGAGAAGTTGCGGTCGAAGTTTTCATCTCTAAAACGTAAACGTCGAACGTTGAGCGGCGCCATCTTGTAAGCCTAGAAGTTTGACAAAGGTCACTGAAATCATGTTCGACGTTCCAAACGCCAATGTAAAACTTCTAGGCTTACAAGATGGCGGCGCTCAACGTTCGACGTTTACGTTTTAGAGATGAAAACTTCGGCCGCAACCTCTGTAAATTGTGCATAGCAAAACAACTGTGAAAGACCTGATTAAAATATTCAGATGTAGAGATGTATCTTTATGCATAAAGATTCAACTTCCTCAAGTTATATTTACAATGACATCATACGGATGTGAAACCCGAACAGTAAAAAAGCAAGATGTGAAGATAATTGCCTTTTGTTGAAAAAAGAATACTTTTCAATAAATATGACAAACTGTTTTAAAATCTTTATTTAATAGACTCCATCTTTACATTTAGAAAATATATAAGAGAGGTTTGTTTATTAAGGTAATTAAACTTTGGCGATTAAAGGTCGAGCGGTGGGGAGATAAAGGGGTTCGTGTATATTAAGCAACTCGTTGCTAGATTTTTTGATTAAAATAATTGCAAATGATTATTCATACCTGAAATTTTTCAAATGCTCTTTTTCCTTCTCGTCTTCAATTTTCTCTCTGTTTATTCGTTTTCAGAATATCTATAAAATGCGGTTTGTTAAAATCTCCTAAGTCGAACTTCAGACACCTTATGATAGTGAGTAGAACTCGTGTAAGAAAACTTCCATCTTTTTACTTTCACTAACCCTTAACTGGGTCGAAAGGACGAGGAAGTTGACGTCAGCTTACCTCTTTGGGAATTGCTCACCCGGATTCGATTCTGGGTGAGCAATTCCCAAGAAGTTTTTATCCCGAATGTATTGGTCTTCACCCCTCACCACCCAACAGGCCCTATTATGGGCCTTGCTGAACCCATAGTGGATGCAGAGGTAAATTTAACGGCGGACGCACCGGGCTTTCGCCCTGGGTCCCACAAAACCCCAACTTTACACTTGACACCAAGTTGGATTCATATGTGCAATTCCAATCAGTCCCTGTAGGTCATTGCCAAAAAGCTTTCCATCCACCTATAGCTTGATTTGACTGCTAAGCGATATTTTATCTCCAGAGGGTTCGAGGTCGATATTGGAAGCTTCTTCTTCCCTTCGACAATGTACAGTACGAGGTTAACAGAAAAGTAGACTAACTTCCACACCCACCCCACAGGAAGGGGCTATATGCAAGACAGGATTATTTAGTAGACGTGGAAGTTTTCACCAATGGATCAAGGATTAGTAATGGCACCGGGTGTGCCTTTTCTATGTTTTCTGGAGGAACAGAAATTTTCTTTGACACGTGTTCTTCGCGGTCTTCCAGGATGAGGTCCTTGCCATTCTTTTCGCAGTTAGTTGGTGCGAGGTGAATCTTGTTGAAAGGGTGATTAACATCATCACCGACAGCTCTGTGCTCTGAAAAACAAGGACAGTCTTCAACCACTATGCAGGAACATTCTCAACATCATCATCTCACCTAACTCTAACAATTTTTCTATTGGGTGGATTAGAGAGCACTGTTGTACTCCAGGGAATGGTAGAGCTCTGATCAGCTGGCGCGGTCTGCCGCCGACTGTCGTAACATCTCTGACTATTGTATTCTTTCAGCCTCGAGATTTGTCTTCTCCTTTGTAAGAAAATGATTAAAATTTGGCAACACGAGTGGGAATCTATTCCCCTGGATCACATCTCCAGGAGCTTCTTTCCAAGCATCGAGTGGCATCTCCACAGTCGGTGGTTTAATCCAAACTTTCAGACTCAGTTTCTGACGGGACACGGGCAGTTCAACACGTATCTCTGTCGATTCCATAAGTCGAGTTCAATGCTGTTCAGTTATTGTGGAAATTCGGGATTCGACACTATATCTTTCCCTGCCCAATGCTTCATAACATAAGGCAACTTATAAAACTTAAGTTGCATGCTAAGAATGTGAATTGGCCTTGTGATCTGAGTCTCTTTCTTGAGAGCAAAGACAACTATCTCCTTCTAAAGGACCTTATCTAGCGGTATTTTGAAAGGGCTTACATCCGGTAATTAGCTTTATGTGCCACAATGTAGTCATACGCGTCTGGTAATTGTTTTTGTGTCGTCTGTCCTTCTGTTTACATGCGATGTACCAACTGTTAGTAAAGTATTAACACGTAAAAATAGCAAAAAATCTCACGTGGCCAGTCCGTTTTTTAGAGAAGTTTTACAGATCTTTCTCACGTGTCTAACATCTAAATAGAAGTTTCCCCATAGAAAGTCCTGCCGGAAGGATTTTCTATGGGTTTGCTAGTATTGAAACTTACTATAATACCTGCATATAAATTATTTCCAAATTTTTCTCTCTGGAAACGATGGAGTCTCAGTTTACTGTGTTTGTGGTTTGGGCCTCAACAGTCAGCTAACTGATTGGTATCCTCCAACATGTAAATATTGTAATTTTCTTAATACGTATATTTTAATCATTACTTCTATTTCATCTTAATGGTGTATTATAAAAATTAACTGTATCTCGGCATTTTGATGTATCTTTACTTACTACGTATGCTATATTCTCATTTTCTAAACGCGTGCACATAATCTTGTATTCTGATTTAACAATTTTATACTGTACTCATATACAGTATTTACTTTTATTTTGTACGCGTTTCACAATTTGTATACGACTTACATCATATTCTCTGTATTCAACCTCCAGCTATGCCTAGCGTTGCTGAAAATGTGCATTTTGTGCTTTAATAAAATAACTAAACTAACTGAACTGTTTGTGGTACATTGATAATGATAAGCAGAAAATACATGGGTAACACGAAATTCAAGCGAAACTTTAAAATGAATAAGTTTTCTAATAAAATATTTCTTTGATTAGTACTAAAAATAGCAAAGGAAAAAAACAATGTAGGATTGATCGGATAAGGAAACGCAACACGGAGATCTTCCAAAAAGGGATGCCTCCGGGAGGACTTTGTGTAGGAAAGTGGCTTCTACATAAGTATAAGACACATGAAGATGACCCGGAAAACTCCACATGATCAGAGCTCTTCGGTGAGAGGCAAACCCGTGACCAGGACCATCAGTGTTTGGTGGTTTTTATCCACTCAGCAACTAATTACATAATAACGTCGACCAGATGGTCGAGCGGTTTAGGTGACAGCCCTACTGCTCGTGATCGAATCCGGACGAATTGAATAATCCCTGGAATTTTTCGGGAGTGGTCCGTCCGGATGTCTGATCTCGCCACGTAGAGTTTTCGTGCAGGGACCAGTAGCCAATGTTCAGTGGTTTTATCCACTCGGTCGATGACGGGCTTTCAAACAAAAGAATGGCAAGGGCATGTTTTTTCTTTATCGTTAAAAATATTGATGCTCAAAAGTGAGTTACTCGTCGTATATATTGAAACTAGTAGCCCGGGACGCCCCCTAGTGGGCGTTCCAGCAGCATTACAAATTCCTGAGACATGTTTAATGCACTTAATATATGAAAGTTGTGTGCGCTTAATGTTTAAAAGTTTGATTCAGTTAGTATATATAAATGTATACATTTCTTCATCTTCTGCAAGCCTCCACGTATTGATTGTGCTATTCTCTGTAATGTTTCCTGCGCACGTCTCTCCCTTTGTCTCGCAGCAGCGGCAGCTTTACGTTCCCCCACAGTGGCGTATTTCTTTGGTCGTGCCATGAAAGGTTTCTATTATTATATTAAAATATTACCTTAACTATTTCANACAATAATAAATTCCTATTACAAATATATTGAATTATTTATATTGTTATATATTGGGCAAATAATAATTTTTGGGCCAAATGAATAATAATAATAATTTATATTGTTAATTTAAATAATAATTAAAATTGTTAATTTGAATGTTTGAAATATGACACACGATAGGGGCGCCTCTAGTGTCCGTTATCAAACGGTTACGGGACAGACGGACACGTTGAATGGGTTATATATATATATAGACATTGGATAGTCGGTGGAATCACGCTCAACATTCCAAACACCATCGTCAAACTTTTAGGCTTACGAGAAAGCGGCGCCGAACGTCACACGTACACGTTTAAAACGTGCGCCTCAACCTCTCTATTGACGAGTAACTCACTTATGTATGTATCAATAATTTGATACAGCTACTTAGTTATTCATGATTCAGTCATTTCACTGAAAGCAAAATAAATCATGTTCCAAACCAATTATAATTTAATGGTCTTAAAATAATCTTTATATATTGGTTACTTAGCTTCTGGGCCAAACACAGCTTGAGTTGCCAACTTTCATAGTAACAAATTCTGAACACATTGAAAAAAAACCAACTTGAAAATGTGATGAGCAAATTAAAACCTACAAACTTCAAATTTTGTTTCCTTGGTGATGAGGAGACAGCCAGGATGGTCGAGGTGGTCAGCTTACAGCTCTGGAGACTAAGAATCGAATCCCAGCGAACCACCCCAGGAATTTTACATATGGATCCCATTCCGAATACGTCGAGCACCCATCCTCACTGCTGACCCGTTGTGGATTCAGCCAGACACATAATGGGATTTAAAAAAGCATTTAATATCCAGAGAGCAGAAAACAAAAATGAAAAAAATAAACTAGCGGGAATGAAAATAATTCAGATTACGATTAGAGGTGCCAACTTTTCAGGAGGAAGAAAAGAGCTGGAAAACATACACTTCACTCATTTTTCAGATCATTTCCGAATAGTTGGAAACCATAGCCACACTACGAATGCACCAAGAACTATAAAAGTAATGTACCACAATTTATTTCACAATAAATATTTAATTTCAAAAATGGAAAACAGGGATGCTTTGCTTACGAAATCCTATTACGTCCATATTTACATTATATAGATATAACCCAATAATATATATCTTGCTTTTGTACAAATCCAATCACCATCATCATATTTAAATAACACATCCACCATGTATCTTGTGTAAGTGGTATTTCCATATCAAACTTAGAGCATCTAAGTTTGATATTTTAGTCAAACAGTAATTTAGTAGAATGGTGATAAGTGTTTCTTTGTGTGTTAATATCATATTAAAGGCTGTCAATTGTTTTACAGTCCTAAAACCCATCAGTTTGGGTAATCAATACATTCACTTGAAATATCATCTTAGTTTCCACCATCTTTTTTTATTTCTAGTTCAAAGTAACTGATTCATTTTCGTATTCTCTAACACTGGGAGAAAATCTTTCTCCATTAACTTAAAATTGCCAATTTGGAAATAATGTGTTTGCCAAAGTAATCATATTTGAAGAATCTACAGTGCATGGTCAATTGAAAAATTCATTCCTAATTGTCTTCCTGAAACAAAAGAATTTGGTACATAATACATTTCACTGATTGATGAACTATTTTCAATGAAGAATCCAATGATCATTTTGTTTAGATCATAAAAGTTGGTCACTTTAATCTTGTATTACACACTTCAGTTAGTTTTAAATTGTTAATACTGGTTCCAGCCAAGAAATAAATTATAATACATTACTTTTTGGAAAAATTTGTATTGGAAATGCAGTATTGCATTTGAAATTAATTCTAATGATCATATCAATAATGTATGTAAAAAGTAATCACAAGATCCTTAATATGACTAAAATATTACATTAAAACTTTCTCATTAATATGTACAGTATATATGAAGATAGAATGAATATGTAATGAACTGAACTATTGGTTCAATTCATTAATTTAATTTTGATTACACATTCATTGTATCTTTATAGTATAAACACAACAACAGTATAGGGTAATGTAATTTTTAAAATTAATACATGGGATATTGTGAGATAATCTGCTATCATCTTGCATAAATTTAGGCTTGTAAAATTTTTTAATTAATTATAATCAAGACCTAGAGATTTCAAATATGCTGACAAATATTAAAATGCTGTAATCGTTTCTACCTTTTAAATTTGAATATATTCATATATATTCAATATATATACCCAATAAATATCAAATTTTCCTACTAATGTTTACTTCACAGAATTATTTTCTTATAGTAATTCATTTTATAGAATTTGTTAATCTTTTCAATTGAGTGTTAATCACTATTGGTTTCCACAACATTCCCAAGCAATCTATTGTTTTCTCCACAAACAAAAATTGCCTAATTATGTTAACAATGTAATTGTATTGCCAAATTCAATGACAAACCAAATGTAATTGTTAATTGGTATAATATAAACAGACACTCTTTGTACAATGCTAATTATAAAATGGAGATAAATTGATTTCAATGTCATTTTTAAAATCAATTTGTTTGTTTTTATATGAAACATATAAAAGTTATATAAAGTTTAGTCTTATACAGGAGAGTACTGTGGCTCCGACCCCTCGGCTAAGCTTTATGCAGAGGTCTGTGCAACATGATCTGGCCACACATACACTGTAAGACTAAACTTCATAAACAGATTGCTAAAACAAATGAACTTATTCTTTATGATAAATCTCTTCAAATATTCTGTAAGTTCAAATATTACACAAGATAGTGCATAGTTAAATTATTTCACATCATCCTATATGTAACAAACATAGATCATTTTTAGCATGAAGTTTCATATTATCTTGGGCAAAATCCATTATATACAATGTGTTCCAAAAGTTATAAACTTTAATGCTTTATTACAAACTGAACAAGTTGTACAGGTATCATTCAAATCACACTTGAAGCCATTTATGTTAGTGTGTTCAATTGTTAATCCTCAACTTCAACAAGCTTTGCACTGTGGAAAACACCTCAAAATATGAACCGACTGATCTGCATGTTTTTCCAAATCTGAAGATGTCTTTTCATAGAGATATCTTGAAGGTAATATTTATCAAACTGGCTCAAAGACAAAGCTTGAGTCGCCTATTGAGTGCGACATATTCACTATTCCAAAACACATTCTTCAAAGTGCAATGTCAAACTTTGGGATAATATTGATGATGATCAAAACTAAATATTGAGATCAAATAATGTAAATTGTTTTCAAATGCTAATTTATATAATATTTGAGTAAGATTTATATGTATGTACAGTACCTTCTTACTCAGTTATAATAAATACATTAAACTTGATATGTAGGTTTAAAACACTGCAATAGCTCTTGTAATATCTTGCACATCAACTATCATCAACTGAAATCTTCAGACATTTAAAATATAATCAATTCTAAGAAAACAATTTTTTTTTAGAATTTCAAAATTTCAGAGAACAGCAGCTATTGTCTGAAATTTTGAATCTTAAACTCATCATTACTTTTAAATTGCTTTCTGATTATAACAATATTTAAAGTATTCTTCAATTAAGAGAATATCTCCTAATCACACAATTAAGGTTAACTTACATTCTGCAATTAACATCTTATAATAAAATCATAAAATAATTAATTTAACAAATAAACCATCTAATTTTAATGATCACAACTAACATATTTCTATGAGGAATAAAATACGATCATTAATGACATCATGACTAGCTAAAAATAATCCTTTTCACACTTCCATTTTCATGTTTTCCTATAAATTTCCTAATTTTATATAATTTGGCAAATTCAAATCCTATGTGAGTAGAATTTTTGAATGATCTGAAAAACCATTATGGGATAATTCCCCCTTTTCTCATTTTCTTTCTTCTCAAAATAATCTCAAAATAACGCATTTTGTCTACTTGTTGCAAGATACATTCTATTAAAACCAAATAATAAATATAGGCAAGTCTATTCTTATCTGCAGGTTTCATATTTAACAGTTTAAAACAATTTAAATTCAAAATTTAAAACTGTTTCAAATTGTTAGTAATTTTGAACTTGAAATCTGGAGGCGGCAACCAACTTGCCAAAACCAATTGTTCTATTCAATGAAAATGTATTTTAGATCAATCAATCAAATTGTATTACTTTATTGTAATCAAAACAAACCTTAGGAACATATAAGTTCCATACTTAATGATTTTAAATCTTAAAAGAAAGATGTATATTTATAATAATTCAGTAAATATTAATGATACAGCTTAAATTATGGGCTACAATTTTAATAAACATTAAAATACTTTATTAATACCCCATTTCCTTATTATTATTTTAATCAATGTAGTGTAATCAAATACATCCTGTAATATTAACCATAACAGTGTAGAAAGATTATAGGAGCAATTGTATCTGTTTTTGTATAAACTAATAAACAAAACTAATATGAAAACTAAATTTAGATAATGCTATTGTTTTTGGGAGACAATAACTTACAAGAATAGTATTTAATATATAAATTTCAAATAATTTTCTCACAAATAAATATTAAAATAGCCATCCTCAGGCTTAACGATAGAAAAAAAAAGAACATTGGCGTTCCATTAAATAGAATACATAGATTTAAATACAAAAAATAATAATGGAAAAACAAGAAAAATAGAGTAGGCAGAAAATGTTAATTTTTCAATAAAACTATCTCAGCAAAAAAAGGTGTAGTGTGAAAATTTTAATATTAAAATAGCTCCTGTAATCCTTTAATGTATGTAATTTTTCTTATCATCTTTTCAGGAAAACTGTCTTTAAAAATTTTTTAAACTATTTTATCTTTTATCAAACACTATTAAAACTTTGAATATTAAATAATGTGATATCAAACAAATGATACTAATTTTGATGTCTAAGAACTCAAATGCACAGATTTATTCTGTGTCATAAAAATACAACAGTCAAAACACCAACATGTGTTTTCTTAGGGACCGGAAACTGTCGAAAGTTTTACATAAACACATAATATACAACACTTTGTACATGAAGCAGGTTGGCCACTCGATCGTGGACTCAAATACCACGGACTCATCACAGTCATGGTTTCTAACAACATACTGTTTTGAATGCAAGGCAATGTCTATAAAATAAAAAGAAATGAATAACACCACATGGTTTCCCGTCTTGCGGCGAGATACAGAAATAGTTCATGATGTGTGGAAGAAACATTTCGATCAATGTCTGATATTTTTTTTTTCTTAAAGTGCATGCTAGATACATATATATATATATACCGTATATATATATTGTCATCAAATTTTTCATCTGGACGTGCAGATTAAAAAACATTATCATCTCTGCACATGATCACTTCTCAACAAGTGAATGTCTCACCATGGAAATGAAAACTCACATCTAAATGTTCTTGTTTTTGGTTAATCACTAAAACCATTCTAGCCGAAGCAAACAACTGATTCCAGCAGTTTGTTTATGTAGGATTCACAAGACATCAATAGAACTTGCCAGCAAGAAACTGTCTGTTAATGCATTAAATATTCCAAATTGCACTGGTCCTAAGATCAATGGTGGAAGGATTCATCAAATTCTTTCGATGATTAACTTGAACAATTAAGCTGCGGTGCATCATTTACTTCAATATAATTTTCTGATACAAACACATGCAAGAAACTACGGTGCATGATGAGCACAAGTCGATGGCACGTTTCACTCCAATAAAGAATTCCTCTTAGAAGGTTGCACATCAAACTGTTTTGGCACGTAAGGATGGATTGTGCCAACGGCTGCAGCTACTGCTTGCTGACTGGCAATCATTGCTGAAATATTGAAAAGAGAAAAATGTCATTATTCTCAACAGAAATTAATACACTAAATTATGATTATAATTTAAGATTTTTAAAAGTTTTTTAGTAAATTTTTTTATTATTAAAAAAATTATTTTAAGCAGTCAATTTAAAATATAATTATAACAATTATTAAAAATTAAAACAAGAGTACAAATTGTTTCATAAGCATGATTAATCAAAACATTTGGGACAGGCAGAATAATTCACAGCTTTCTCCAAAACACCAAGTCTTTGCAACGATGAAAGTTTTTCCAAATTTAATTTTTCATATAATTATTATACTGATTTTTCACTCAACAAAAAGTAGATTTGACAATACATTTTATCATGAGCACGAGTTATTCCACTAATTAAGTAAAACACAAAAGGTTGTGCTCTTAAAAGCATCCAAGGACAACATTTTATATTTATTTAATAAATTTTTCAATTATTTTCAATAAAATTTTTATTACGGTAACAACCAAAACACAATTGTCCTCTAATCAAATGTAGTCTACTTATTAATTACATCCCAAAGGGTCTATAAGAAAATGATGAAATCATTAAAATTTTGAAGATCCATACAATTTTAGTAATTGCACATTGTAATAATAATAATAATAGCAGTTTAAACTTTAGTAACTTCACATTCCATTTGCTCTAGTCTACTTTCAATTTTCCATTTATTAAAATATTATTAATTAATAATTATTCAATTTCGGTAAGACTGAATTTTTGTGGTGTTGGAGAATAAACAGAAATGAGTAATGTGAAATATTCTCTCTCTGCCTCGCAATAGAATTTTTAAAATGGTCTTTACTTAGGAAACACTCAATACTCTCTGGTCAAAGGAAGTTAAAAGCAAATCTTAATTAACACACATGATTCTTTTTTGCATTACGACAAAGAAAAGCCCTTCTCCAGGGATCTTTTTTCACAAAATTCTGGCGACAGTTTTAGAAAAATGTTTATTGGTCCATAATTACCGTCAATCTGTAGGGGACTCGCCTTTGATTCTGAGCTTGCTTCCAATGTGGCGGGGTCACTAAAACCAATCAAATCAACCTCGAATTACCATACATGGAGTGAAATTTTCATTGGAATGGCATGTAAATTTAATCTATCAATATTTCTGTCTTTGACAGATGTGCAACAATAATACAGAATACCGACATCCAACAAAGACTGTGGAGTCCCAGAGAAGGGCTTTTCCTTCGTCTCTGCTGGACACGACAACTCATTTTCCAGTGGATAATAAAGAAAATCATTTTCTGGAACAAAATGCTGCCCAACGCCAGTCATAGTTTTCAACAAATAAATGTAAATTTTCTTCAAAAACACAGTTAACCTTAGGTACATGATCCGTTTCATTGGCGGCAGTAACCAAAACAAAAAAATTTATGCTAGAAAAAAAAAATAAATAGACTGAGCTTTGTCACAGTGATATTTTTTTTAGTCATCACTAAGTAATTAGTAATGTAAAAATGAAGGACAGCCATGGTGGAGAAATTGATTTTCTTTAATTGTGGCTGAAATTTTCACACCTTAATAATTTCTATTCAAACATTAAGTTAAAAAAAAAAACAAATTTGATTTTAAGTCTATTAGGCAACCAATAATACCAACTACAGAACATTGTCTTAATTTCTAATTGTACATTGGATGCCCAATAAGACGGGACTGAAAATTAACATCTGTTATTTTTTTTTTACATGGCAGTCCAACTGTTATTTTTCAATATAATCTAAGAATTAATATAGATTTAAAAAAAAATAACAATAAATTATGAATAGGAAAATAAAGATTCCATTTGAATGATCCATGCCAAACTGCATTTGTACTCCAAACTGCAGTTTTCCAATTAGCATCCAATTGATTTCATTAATTCGTGCTATTAAATTTATCAGATAACCAAACTACTAAATTACTAATACTGGAATATCATAACATAATGGCAAATCAAATATATGATTAATAGTAAAACAATCATAATCAATTATAACCGTAAACTAAGCAATCATCTTCAAAGCGTAAGTACACAAAAATGTTTATCCTTTAAATTCAATTATAATCCTCTTGTCAGTACAACGACCACCATGGCTGAATTACAAAACAATTTTATCCACATAATACAACTTTATATATTCATGCTACCTGTATATACCAGTTTTTAATATTCAGATAAGTAAATTTTAGAAACCAAATAAATTAGAAACATGTGTAAACTGTCTCTTTAACGCTTAATTCATTTTTTAAGTTTATCACAATTTTTAAACACATTATAACGAAGTTAGTTATCAACAAAAATATTACTATTATTATTATTATTGTATACAATATCTGAGAAATTACTGTACAGTGAGAAATTTGTAATGATGTTAAAGTTACAGGTTTGGTATTGCATACAACTTATAGGCACTTATTGCATACGAGACCTGTAACTTTAATGTCGTTACAAATTTCTCACAACACAGTAACTTCTCAGACACTCTGTATGTACCTACTTAATTGTAAAGTTACATAACAATGATCTGCCATATAACTTCATGGTTGAATATTAGTAAAAGTTAGAGCATTAATAAAAAAAATTGCTAATTTGGGCTGTTCTGATAAATCTGGGATTATACCAAAAATAAAAATATTTATTTTAGAAATTTTTCCCATTCTTAATTTCAACAGTTCTACAACAATAGTATTTGTTAATTTCCCACTTGTATGTGCTTTAAATAGCAGCTTAAATATGACTAGAAACCTTAATTTTTAATTATGATTATTTCATTTATGCAATTGGATAGATTCAATGAAGACACTAAACAAAATCTAAATTTGTCTTTACATAACATTATCCAGAATAAGATTCAAATATAACATTGCAAGATTTATGGTAAATATAATTTATGAATTTATAAGTTGTGCATAAACTTATAATCAAATTATTATTATTACATTTCAAAACATTTTTCAACCAAAATCTCAATACTGATGTCTTCATATACTGTACTAAATACTTTTGCACTGTACAGCATGGAGTACTTAAAATATAAAAATACCTTCAGAATTTGAACAGTTTTGTTTGCAACTAAGCCTTTAATTAAAAAATGCAGTAAACTTCTTACTGATTAACCACTGAACAATTAATGGAAGCTTAAAAATGCTTCCTGTTAATGGAAGCTTAAAAATGATATCAGATTTATACAAATCACTGATTGAAAAGCCAATCTTACTGAAATGAGAGAAAATTATATCTACATTTTTTGAGCTGGAGTAACTAAATTATGCAATCAAAAGAATGTCTTACCATACCAATTTTTAAACTTTTCTACATGTCTATCTCAAATGAATACTCAATTTAAAATAAAGTAATATTTGTGGTGTATGCCTTGTCTGAGTTAGACAAGGCATACACCACAAGGCATACAACACAAACAAAAGAAAACCTCAGATTTTGATGTTAAGTAAACAATTTAAAGAAATCAAGCATTTTTCATATTTTGGAATATATATAGATAGCAAATTTGTGTTATTATTTGATTAAAAAAATACATACACATATAAACCATTTGTAATAACACACACTTATTATAATTCAATTATTTAAAAACAGATGTAATATTGTATCAAAATTGTAAAGGGCAATTATATACTTATCCTTGACAAATCTAGTTAACCCTGGACTATTTAAATACAGTTCTTTTACTTGGAAAATTGTCAAGAAAATTATTTAAACAAGCAATTCACATTCCAGTATACTCTTCTAACAATATTTTGATGTTATTGTATACAAATATTTGTGTTCTCGGTCAAAAGATGGGCCAACCGCATGCAAACCTGAGCGTATCCATACTGAAAGAAAATTTTTGACTTGTTCATAAAACTTTGCAAAATTGATGTCATATTGCTATGCTTCAGTTAATGGATGCTATAATCAAAAATTAAAATCCGACATAAAACAGAAAAGATTTTTCTCAATTTGTCATATAACAGTTGCAAATGACACATCCAAAAGTTAATAATAGTAAATTCTGTATATGATAATGAAACATTAAGACTAATGGAAAAAAGTTATAATAAAAAGTTGAGGATAAAAGTATATAAAAAATAATATGAGATGATGAACATGTAACTGATACAAATGAAAAGTATTATTTTAAAACTGGTTAATTTCAACCAATTTTTGGAGATGAACTGAATTATAATCGAAACAGCAGTTTGTTTGGCTTTAATCTAACAGTTTGAGAGTTGATGTTCATATATAATTATAACTATGCCAAAAATGACAAAATTTCTGTTATTTTTATAGATGAAACAGATAGTGGTCTTTGAAATACTTTAAAAAACTAGTTATTTTCTGTTTTAAGCCAATAACAGATTTTTTTATGAAAGCTAAAACATAGAATAACTGACTCAGAAATTTTATAATTAATATTTCACCAATTATTTAATAAATCGGTGATGATTTTTACACCAAAAAAGAAAATATGCAAAATATAAAGTATATCTTCTGTTCTTTTAAAAGGAATTTTCAACATTAAACTTTTTATGGCATCAAAGATGATAGGGTATTAAAAGACTTGATTATTTACACTTTATTATCATTATTATTATTAAGCTTTGTTCTTGTTGTTATAAGTGTAAAATTATTTAAAGCTTTCAAAAATCGCAATTAAGTTAATACAGAGCTTAACTGAAAAATGAAGCTTGGTACCAACTTGACAATATCTTGTGATATTTTTGATCTGCATCTATTTGCAACTTTATTGTTTGTGATACGGTTGCAGTAAAGCACGATACTAACAATAATATAAAATATCAATTAAAAATCATATGGAAAAGTAAATTTTCTATTATAAAATCATAGATATTAATATTTTCTTGGCTTTATTAAATCAATGAACGAATGTAATGAAATTCATAAATTATATTACACAATAAAATATAAACAGTTAATCAGCTAATTACTTAGTTGTCTAAGTAATCATATAATTTTGATACATCACAATAATCTAATTGGAGTTAGCGATAAATTTGATTTTTGTTGGGTAAACATATCCAAGCAAGCAATAGTCATCAAATAATTTTACAAATTTGGAGTAAATGTCTATTCCAAGAATGTTTATTTCTTTGTTCAGGAATGTACAGTACTTATTATTATAAAAAAATGTTTGATAAACTTTAAGATTTTCAAAAGTATAATTTGTTTTCGTCCTCTGAAGCATTTTTTTAGATTTTGAACTTAATTTCTCATATAAACATTTTGTTCTACTTTAATAATAGTAGCTATCTCCAAATATGCAACTGGTACACTGGGCAGCAAGACTTCATTTCCAGCTATCTTTCATGACAGAATTTCCATCTTGCTTAATATTAAACATTTCAGAGTTCAGAAGTCATCTGTGGATATATTGTGCCAAACTTTGCTCAGCCTACATCCTTTCTTTCCCCCAACATGTCAGGAGTTAATTTGATGTTAGAATGTCTGTCGACTTGGTAAATATAGTAGTTGATACCCAACGTATCCTACAGTCTGTTATGATGTCTTATAAATAGAAGCAGATCAAGAAGATTACAACTTTATTGTTTGTGACATAGTTATAGTAGTAGATGATTTTAGGAATTATGCATAGACAACTTTGATGGAACATGCTTAATTTTTGTACAATTCACTTAGTGTTCCTCAGAGCCAAATGATTGCCATAATGTATCAGGCTATTTTTCTGCTACTATTAATAATTATAATTTTAAATAATTTGGTATTAGAGGTAGGCATTAGGCACCATCTCTTATTAAATTTAATAATAATAATAAATTAATATTTTATTAAATAATTTAAAATATTCTGCAAAAAAGAATTGGCCTGGAGTGGGACTCAAACCTTCCGCTCCCGCCTACCATGCAGATGCATTGCCAGTTACACTCAGACCATTGAACATAACTGATTTTTTGCTTCAGGACATATTTAATTCTTGATATAACCATCCAAGATTAATCACGACGCTGACTGAGAATGATTCATACACCCATGGCCTATATAATCATCCACTGTGGCACTCAAGCCAGATATAACTTTACCCAGTATGGTGTATATATACATAAACATCTATATACAACTAACTTATTTAATATGCTTATATATGTATATATACACTGTGTTTCTCCAAGTATATATAATGTCTGAAAGACAAAATCTATAAATTATTTAATTGTAAAGTTTAATTTGTTTGTTTACTTGATGCATTTGAATTTTTTTAAAACTTTTCTCATACATTTGGGCTTTGCTATTTTTTTTTACATTAATATTTTCTAATGTATATTTTATCTTAAGCTATCAAGTCTTTCAAATTCTCAAAATGCTGAATTTTATCCTACAATTTAATTAATACGAAGTTATACTATACAATAATATAAACATAATTTATCTTGTTTGCTATTCCTGAAGTCAACTTAAGTTTTAATTTAATCATTAACATTCATTCATATTTCTTAAATTATAAAAATTATACTGTTCAAAATTAAGATATTTTTCATAAAATAACGAGAATAAAATTACTTAATTTGTTAAAAATCGAGTTAAAATTACTGAACACCATAAAGAAAATTTTAAATTTCATGCAATTTATACGATAACTAATTATAATTGAAATTCGTTTGTCGTAATTTTTAAATAAATTTCTTTACTCAACTATTCTATAATTTGGATTTAAATTTAAAATAAATTACTAAATATAAATAATTTTGTAGTGGATAAAAATTATTATTTTAACAATTTTTGCACAAAAACTGAATTATTGGCAATTAAATTAATTATACAGTTATTACGCATTATAAATTAATAAATAAACAAATGACATAAGATTTGTAATGCATGAGGACGATAGAAATTCTTTATTTGAATGGTCAAGAATAAACTATGCAACTCACCATTGATCAAGCAAACAACAATATACTTTTAAACATTCACGTCGTCCTCGGGAGAAGTAATATGGAATCATCAACCTCTTCAAAGAGTTGAATAAATATTTGCTGGAAAAATTATAAACTTGGGTTGGATACACTTTTCTCAGAAAAATGTTTTTGTTTTTTTTTTTTAATTCATAAAGCAGGCAAAAGATAATTTTAACCATAGCAACAGAAACTAAATATACTATTCACAAAACAGTAAAAACTCCAGAAATACTATGAAGGCTTTAAGAATTTAAGTTGTGTTTATAAAAATTTACAAACAATGACGGGAGAAGAATTGCTTTAGGTTAAAATTAAAACTTTTAATTTTACAATATTCAAAAGAAATTTCTCTTGCCATTTTAATAAGGAAAATCCAGCTAGTTATTCGTTATTAAATTGGTAAACTTTGAAGAGTTATAAGCTAATCATAATGATTTTTTTTGAGAAGTTTTCTTTACCACCCAAAAATAGATTAAATTTACTTCATCTAGAAATTCTCTAAGAATAAAATATTTTCTTAAAACTAAATAATAATACATAAATTTATATATAATAAATTAAATATGAAATTCCAGAAAAAAAAGGAAAATATAAATCTAATTTTGCATTATTTAAAATAATAATGAAATATTTTTTTAAAATCTGTTTTAATCGATAATACATTTCTTATTGGCATTCAACAAACAAACAAAACAGTGAAGTAGCATGAATTATTTTATCTCTCATACTATTGGTGCTACGGTATTGGCAAAGGGATTAATACTCCATCACCTTCCAAATTACTAACAGCAGATTACGCAAATTAAACCCAAGATTACTTTACGACAAACAACAATATTAACAAAACAGATTTGTCAATTTTATATCCTTAGTTATTACTGCTATTTATTAATAATTTTGAAAGAATTTATGATCAGAACTAACAATAAAAATGCAATTTGGTATGAATAATGTCCTTAAAACTGTGAAGTGTCTATTCCAAATTAATTCGAAAATAATCAATTATCTACTTTAATAACTGAAATTGCTGATAATAAGAAATTCTTCTTACTCTAGATTAAACAAGAAAAAGCTATAAATTTAAAAATTGTCATTTATTTTATATAATAAACAACCTTTCAACTAATTACAGCGAAAGTTTATTTATAAAAAAATAGTGAAACAATCCATCACTTCCTCATAAAAGAAAGAAAGAAAAAAAAAACCAATCACATGTTTAGAAAATAGTCGCTTTAAAGAATTTTTTTTTAATGATTAGAATGAAATTTTCGAGAAATTTAAAAATATTTTTTGAGAATAAATTCCGACTCCAATTATACTAAATTACACTAGTTTTTGTTGTATTGCAAATTCAAATAATCAATATTTTTTTGAAATTAGAAACCAACCTCTAATTTAAATTCAAACAGAAAAATGCCGAAAGAGTTTCTAAGAACCAAAAATCATTTACTTGATTAACGTTTTCGGGATGCGCTCAATCTCGTTTTCGGATCACTTAAAATAAGAAAAAAAACCATTGAACATTTCTAAATACAAAATCAAATAGTTACTTTAATGTTAATTTATATTCAAAGTAAATTGCAGGAATGGGCATAAACAATGTAAAGAATGAAATTTTTTTTTCGGTGTTTTTCTTTCGAATATAAGGTTAAGAAATGAAGATGATACACTTGTGTAAGATAAATCTCCTTAGAACATCAATTCTAATTTTATTAATACATTTCCTTAGATGTTTATACAGATAAATTTTTTCTCTATTTCGGAGAATTATTTTCCTATAATATTTCATATTATAAATGAAGAGAAGAGTAACAAAAACTCCAAACAGATGATTTTGGTAATAAGAACGAAAGATAAAATATGATAAATGATAATGAAACCAAGCAAATATGAGTAGTATATATTGATTATACAATCAGAACTGAAGGGGGGAGGGAAATGATAAATCACAAGAATGAACTTATCTGTATTTATAATAATAAACAAATATATTTATAATAATTATTTTATAATCTAAAATATTTATATTAGTAAAACATAAACATTTTATATTAACTTATTAAGGAAAATTTTTATTATAAACATAGTTAAGTTGTCTATACAATTAATTAATATGATTCAAGACATTAGCTTGGAACATAGATATTTTAAAATATAAATAAATAGTGCTATAGAATATTCATATTAAAATCACATTAAAAAATTTGCTGTCATAATGAAGTTTAACATCTCAAACGGACTTTCTTCTAATCTGGATTAATTTTGTTTGATTTTTGCTAAATGTTCCAGCCAAAAACAAAATTATTGGTTAATTTTTTTTTTTTAACAGGTTGAATTTATAATCATTTTTACTTTATTTTTCTTTATGAACACCCCCAATAATTCAAAACAATCCTGTACATTTAATTACTTCATATCAGCAAGAGTGCACTATATTTCAACTCTATGATCTCAGAATTCATCATCAAACTCAATCAAAACAAAAATTTAACAAAAACTGTAGCTCATATTTCTATAAAATAGTGTTCTTACTGAAAAACAATTTTATGAGCACACCTTTAGAGTGTAACTGAAAGCTGAACAAGCTAAGAACTAACAATTTCTGCAATCAATAATGACAACTATGATGTTTAAAACTAGATTTCACCTACACATGTATAGCATTAGTATTTTTCAATTGGCTAATATATAATTCAGTGGTTCCCAAAGCATGCACCACCCAGCTGTGGACAGTGAGGTGCATGCTTACCTTGTTTACTGCAAAGTTCCACTCCCTGTACATTACTAATCATTTAAAACTTTACATATTCATTATATACAAAAGTGAGGATCTGATCTAATGATGTAGTTAAAATTTAAATAATAATTAATTTTTTATTAATTTAAAACACAAATTAACTGTACGAATACAGTGATTAACACATTTTATGAAATTAATCTAGAATACGTTAGACACAACCACCTTTTAGTCAGACATCGGTAATTTTTCTATCGTATTAGCTATTATTCCAAAAGTGACTTATATTTTAAATTTACAATTCATAATTTAAAAAATAATCAACAAAAAACAAATCAAATTTGGTGTCGTACTGAAAGTGGCTAACTGATAATCAACTTAAAATTTCAATTGTAATGAACTTAAATATTTTAACGATATCTTTGAATAAAGTGAAGATCTCAATGCTTAACTATTTCTTATACAATTTTTCAAATATTTTAAAAATTTAAAAAACACATTTAAAATTCTTTTCAAAATACATGAAAATGAACAATGTGAAGGAAATCATAAAAACTCTTTAAAGATTTTGTACTGAAAGTACTTGTTATTTCTAAAACTATTTAAAGAATTATTGAACATTGACTTAAATAGGAATTTTTGTAAATATAAAAGAATTTACTTAGACAAATATTTAAAATATTTCTAATATTTTAATTCTAAAAGCTAAATTTTATTAGTTTTTGAAATATACATACAGTAATCTTATAAATAATTGGGAACTTTTGTTTGTTTGTTGCAGTGTTATATCTGTGTGAGAATTTTGTAGACATTTGTTTAGAATCAGTGTTGTTGAATTTCACCATTTCTTTCAACTTTTTTCACAAAATTTATCTTTCTTTTTACTTGTACACTTTCATAAAACCCAATCCAACATATTTTTTATTGAAAAATAAAATTGCAAAATCCTACAAATTTCTTTCAATGACCATAAAAGTTTATTTTAGCAAACAAAAATCTGTGAAATTCACTGCTTATGGAACAATCCACCGCTGAAAACATCACAACACATTTAATCATAAAAAAAACATGATCTAAACAATCATCGCAACTGGCTA